GTTTCCTGCAGAGACTCCTGCCACGGGAGTTTTGTGAGGTGTGAATGAGCCCATGTTAGTGAAGCTCAAATTAGAGCCTGGTGCACACACATTAAGTGCTCGGCACCGGTGTGACCCCTTTTCCCCTCCCTTTGTGCTTAGTTTGGGACAGTTGCCTCAGAAGCTGGCTGGAAACCACTTCTGGCAGGAGACCCTGTGACCTACTTGATGATATTTGTGAATTTTGCCCTTGCTGGGAGAGCAATGCATCCGTAGACATTGACGGCTAAGTACCTACCCCAAACCACCTGAGTGACGTCTACTGAGGGCTGATTGGACTGGGGCTCCAGGTGGGGTTTTCCTGTGTGCTTCGCCTTCTAGTGATTGAATATGGAAATAGCAAGGAACCCTCACTGTGCTCAGTACCCGCCGCACTTTTTTTTTTTTTTTTTTAAGATTTTATTTATTTATTTGACAGAGAGAGAGACAGCGAGAGCAGGAACACAAGCAGGGGGAGTGGGAGGGGGAGAAGCAGGCTTCCCGCTGAGCAGGGAGCCCGATGTGGGACTCGATCCCGGGACCCTGGGATCATGACCTGAGCCGAAGGCAGACGCTTAACGACTGAGCCACCCAGGCGCCCACCGGCCGCACTCTTTGACCCCTCTGAGCTAGCCTTTGTTGTATGAAGTCTTGTGTGGGTGCTCTGGGCGTTTCTCCTCGGGTTCTGAAACCATTCCCTCTTATCCCTGCAATTTAAAAGCAAGTTGCAGCATAATACAGCACTAATGTCTTAAAACAATGACGGGGATACTTTTGTATAATACTAGGATGCGCCAGGTCTCTACCTCTAGTTTCCCCTTGGGCACTGAAAAGGTGAGAGTCTCTAGGCAAGTACTACGCTACACTTGACTCTGTTCTAACAGAATGGAAATACGGAATGTATTTATTCCTCTAACAAGGGATCTAAGACAATAACTGATAGGGTAACAGGGAAACTGGTGTGCCCTGAAACGAAAAAAGTCACTTGTTTACTTCGAATTCTGAGAATTGAAGATCCCAGGGCTGTAAAGAAGGGCTTAGAGAAACAACTATCCAGTTTCCTGAAAGATCACCTGGCTAACACTGCCTCACCCCCACCTGACAAAGACTAAATGCAAGGATATTAACTTTACTCAGGACACAGGCATTTTCTCAGATCAAAGAAAATTAAGTCCCAAAGGGAGAAATAGGGGAGGAAATGAACCAACTGATTTGGAAAAACGAAAGAGTAAAGATAACAGTTTCTCCAAGTTAATATGAAGGTAAAATGAAAAGCCAAGAAAGTCTCTGAAGAATACTTACTGTACTTTGCAAATACATAGTGAAATTAACCTGAAAGAACAAGCAGAGAAGGATACCAAAGATTTTTTTTCCCCCAAAATTCAAGATAGAGCATCTATGGCAGGATGTTATCTCTTGTTACATCTGGATGGTAGATCCTTAGGTGTCAGGCATCTTCTCTGTATCTGAAAATTTTCATCATTTAAAAGTCATGATGGGGGCGCCTCGGTGGCTCAGATGGTTGGGCGTCTGCCTTCGGCTCAGGTCATGATCCCAGGGTCCTGGGATCAAGTCCCGCATCGGGCTCCCTGCTCAGCGGGGAGCCTGCTTCTCCCTCTGCCTCTCTCTCTCTGTCTCTTATGAATAAATAAAATCTTTAAAAAATAAAAAAATAAAAAATAAAAGTCATGACGGCCCATTTACCTTTTCAAGAGCTGTACTTTGACTTGGATATTTTGGAAGTAGGAAATACAGTTGATCCTGAACAACATGGGTTTGATATTGTATTCAATAAATACAATACAGAACTGTTCATGTATTTTCTCTTCCTTATGATTTTCTTAATATTTTCTTTTCTCCGGTTTATTATAAGAATACCATATATAAGGGCACCTGGTTGGCTCAGTTGGTTAAGTGTCTGCCTTCAGCTCAGGTCATGATCCCAGGGTCCTGGGATTGAGCCCCCTGTGGGGCTCCCTGCTTAGCGGGGAGCCTGCTTCTCCCTCACACTCTGCCCCTCCCCGCTCCTTGTGTTTGCTGTCTCTCAAGCAAATAAATATTTTTAAAAAAGAATACAGTAGGGCGCCTGGGTGGCTCAGTTGGTTAAGCGACTGCCTTCGGCTCAGGTCATGATCCTGGAGTCCCTGGATCGAGTCCTGCATCGGGCTCCCTGCTCGGCAGGGAGTCTGCTTCTCCCTCTGACCCTCCCCCCTCTCATGTGCTCTCTCTCATTCTCTCTCTCTCAAATAAATACATAAAATCTTTTAAAAAAATAAAGAATACAGTATATAATACATATGACATTCAAAATATGTATTAATCAACTGTTACTGGTAAGGCTTCCAGTCAACAGTAAGGTATTGGTTAAATTTTGGGGAAGTCAAAAGTTATACTCAGATTTTCAGTTGTGTGGGGTCAGCACCCCTAACCCCCACAATGTTCAAGGATCAACTGTACTTATTTTTAAAGATAAATCTTTTTAAAAGATCTATTTATTTTTTAAAAGATTTTATTTGGGAAAGAGTGAGAGAGAGAGAGAGCACGAGCAGTGGGGAGGGGCAGAGGGAGAGAGAGAGAAGCAGACTCCCCTGCTGAGCAGGGAGTCTGATGCAGGAATCTGCTTCTCCGTCTGCCCTTCACCCTGCTTGTGCTCTCTCTCGCTCTCTCAAAGAAATCTTTTTTTAAAAAAAGCTATTTTAAATAGAAAATTGAAAAACTTGTCTAAAATAAGGGAATTAATATGCTTTGTATGAGATACCCACATGATGGAATAATGTTTTAAAACAGCTCTAATTCAACAAATGGAATAATGTTACAAGGAAATGGCAAGGGGCGCCTGGGTGGCTCAGTTGTTAAGTGTCTGCCTTCAGCTCAGGTCATGATCCCGGGGTCCTGGGATCAAGCCCCACCTCAGGCTCCCTGCTCAGTGGGAAGCCTGCTTCTCCCTCTCCCACTCCCCCTGCTTGTATTCCCTCTCTCGCTATGTCTCTCTCTGTCAAATAAATAAATAAAATCTTAAAAAAAAAAAAAAGGAAACGGCAAAACATACTCCGAGAGATTAGAATTACATAAAATACAGGGGCACCTGGGTGGTTCTGTCGGTTAAGCATCTGACTCTTAGTTTTGGCTCAGGTCGTGAGCTCAGGCTCCTGAGATCGTGGCCCCCTTTGGGTTCTGAACTCAGCGCAGTCGGCTTGGATTCTCTCTCACTCTCCCCCTGCCTCTTCACCCCCCCAAATAAATAAATCTAAAAAAAAAAAAGCTATACAAAACACATTTCTTTTATTTTTAATGTGTATGCTACCTGTTTGAAATCATAGTTTGGTGGGTTGTTATTGTTTGTAACATTAAGTCATCAGTATCTTCTTTATCTTTACTAACAAAAGCTTATATAGAAGAATTATCTTATTGCTAAGCCTTACAAATCCTGTTTTCAAAAGGGAACTATTACATTTGAGAATATTTGGATCATAGGCACAGCCCTTTAGCTTCTGAATCACTCTCTTCCACTGAATTCCTGTTCTTCCTCCAGATCTCATTTTAGTATCTTCTTCGGGGAAGTCTGACCTCTCCGATTAAGTCACTTCTGGCCACACCAAGTACCCAATGAATACTTATTTTATAATGAATGGTTCTCTTTTCTTAACCAAGTGAGCCACCCAGGTGCCCATGGTTCTCTTTTCTATAGAAACCTTGTAACTTCCCCATCTACAATTCCCTGTATGATTTCCACAACCATCAATATAATTTCGATACTATTTTTAACTCTGAAATCCTGCCCTTTAGCAGATCCCTGAAGGAACTTCAGACTTAGAAAACCTTGACATTCAATTAGTTTGTTTATTCATCAAGTATTTAATAAGTGCCTGTAATTTGCTCCATTATGTGCATAGCAGTAAACAAAACCAGCGAAGTAAATTGCTTATGCAATTTACACCCTAAGGTGGGAGGAGAAAGGTAATAAACGTGGTACAATGTCAGGGAGTGATTAAGTATCAGGGAGGAAAACCGAAGCAGAGTGAGGGAATGGGAACAGATGGGTGTGCTGTTTAGATAAGGTGGCCAGGGAAGGCCTCTTTGAAACGGGGGCACTTGAACTGAGGCCTGAATGACCTGAGACAGAGACATGGAAGTAACTGGGGAGGAGCATCCCTGGCCGAGGAAACAGAGAACGTAAAAGTCCTGGGGCGAGAATGAGCTTGATGTATTTGGGGGGGGGGGGGGGGGAGGCGGCAGGCAGTGAGGTGATGGAGAGAGAGAATGGGAACCCAAACCCAAGGAGACAGAGAAACACGCATTGACAGACTTGTGGTGTGTGACTACCAGGGAAGAGCCTTTCCCGGGGGGGTGGAGTCAATCTCATGCGCAAAGTGCAGACTTGCAAGATCCTAAGCTCTGACGGTTCAACGAGGTCGCCCCAGCTGCCGCAGGGGAAATGCACTGTCGGGGGGCGGGGGCTTGGGCGGCAAGGGCAGAATGAGGGAGCGCAGTGGGGAGACCCGGGCTGGCACGAGACGAAGGGGGCTCAAGGGGGCGCGGACCAGGGTGGGGCAGAGTGGAGGTGCTAAGTGCTCAGGGCCATAGGCTCTGAGGATCAGGATCTTCCCCACGCCCCAGCCCCAAGCCGCCGGATGGTTTCAAACCCTGAACTCGAGAGGCGTCCTAACGCGGCACTCCTGACCGCGGGTAGCACCGACGGTGAACTTCATCACACGCCTGGAGGCCCACAGACCTGGGAGGACTCCCAGATCTGCCATTAACACCCGCTGGCCTCTGCAGGTGCTCATTCCTCCGCGCCCCGAAGACCCCTTATCTACAAAACGGGAATGTTATCAGAACGGACTTCGCACACGTGCAAACCACCTAACAAGCCGACCAGCGCCTTCCGGGTCAGCGCCTCGGCGCAGGCGCGGAGGGTCCAGCGGCTGCGCGGGGCTCAGTGCGCGTGCGCCGGGCCCGCCCCTCGCGCGCGCCTGCGCCGAGTCGCAGTCAGTTTGGCGTTGGATCCCGGAGGGCGCGGGGCTCCGAGTGGCCACCGGCGCGCGGCGGGCTGGCCGAGGCCGGGCAGCGGGGCCTCAGCCATGCCCGGGATGGTGCTTTTCGGTCGGCGCTGGGCCATCGCCAGCGACGACCTGGTCTTCCCGGGGTTCTTCGAGCTGTCCCTGCGAGTGGTGTGGTAAGGGCGGCGGGCTGCGCGGGCGGGCGGCCCGGGAAGAGTGGCCGTGTCGCCGCGTTTGTGCGCGCGGACGCGGTGCCCACGTTCCCTCGTCTGGGCCTCTCCACCGCGCGAGGCCTCCGAGGACGGGCGTGCAGCCGCTCTCCCCATTTCTCGGAGGGCACACTGAGGCCGGAGCGGGGAGGCTGGGCCCGGGGTCCCCCAGGGGGTCTCCCGTCGCGTGCGACCCCGAGGCCTGGCCCCGGGAGCCTCCGGGACGGGGTTGCCGACCAAGGGCCGTGGCCTCCGGGAACTGTTTCCTGAAGCCAGGAACAGCCACTTGCATCATTACGGCGCTCGGCATGGAAATTCAGGGCATCAAGTGTCAACCAAAGGAGAGGATGGGAAATAGTAGCCTGCCTGTCGTTCTGGAGCCGGTTGTGCCCGAATTCCCCGACGAGCAGCCAGGCTTGGCACAGAGTGTGCAACCGATGGGAAGTGGAGTTGGGCGCCTCAAGGCTGCTCCCAGAGGGGCCGGGCAGGGAATAAGAGTGCGTTCTCGAGGGGAAAGGAATGTAAGAACGTGAAATATTGAAAGCGGCCCCTCAGTAGTTTCATAGTTTTCAGAGCCAGGTCTCCCCCGTATCATTTCCCATTGTTATTTCCAGACCCAAAGTCCTAATACCACAAAACTGGCAAAAGCATAAAATGTTCTCTAGTCCCAGTTCCACACCTGGGCTCGAATCCTTAATAACAGCGTTCTTGCCAGCAATGTTCAGCCCTTTGCTGAAATGCTTCTGGTGACTGGTCACTGTTGCTTTGAGGTGTTTGGTGCTGTCTTTCCTTGTTCTGCACCGAGTTACAAAATCTATAAATAAGTCTGCAGTACGTGGCCTTTCAAGCTTAATCAGTGTTCACTGTGGAACATCTTGGCATAACTCGATTACCACCTCCTGGTTTTTGCATTACACACAGCAGATGACAAAAAGTGTTTGTCAGTTTCTTGTTAATCCCCAGAAGTGAACATTACCTTGTTAATATTTTAGCAAGCAGGTATTTTGTTGGTTTACACTTGCATGTTTCTGAGTCATGGTAGGGCTGCTGTTTTTCATCAGCCCACATTATAGTTGCCTGCTTATGGCATTAAATGCCTCTTAGATATTAGAGCAGGCAGAGAATTAGGAACAATCATGTAAGCACAGAAAGGATAAAACTCATGTTTTAAAAAAAGGCCATGCTCTGTAATTGACTTAGTAGATTTTTTATTGTTTTCTTTTAGTAGATCTTTTATCGGAGAAAATTATATTCCAAAGCAAACTTCGCCTTGCTTTGGGAAATATTAGCTTTTTAAAAATCTTTAACTAAAATTTTTTTGTTTAATATTAATTCCTTTTATTTCATTCTGTAATGTTTTATAATGTAGTTCCTTGGTTTCCATTTCTGACCCTCCCTGTCTCTCGGCAGGTGGATTGGCATTTTGACTTTGTACCTCATGCACAGAGGGAAGCTGAACTGTGCAGGCGGCGCCCTGCTCAGCAGTTATTTGATCGTTCTTCTTGTTCTCCTAGCAGTTATTATATGTACGGTGTCCGCCATTGTGTGTGTCAGCATGAAAGGTAAAGGGTAGCCTTTTCTATTTGATACCTATTCTTTTTTAATTGCTTTATTGAGATATAATTCATGTCCTATACAGTTCACCCACTTAAAATGTACAAGTCCATGATGTTTAGTATATTCACAGAGTTGTGCAGCCATCACCACAATTTTAGTACATTTTCATCATCCCCCAAAAAATCCTATGCCTATTAGCAATCCTCCTCAATTTTCCCCAATTTCCTCAGCCCTAGCCATCTGCTAATCTACTTTGTCTGTAGATCTACCTATTCTGGATCATACAGGTGGAGTCACCCACTGTGTGGCCGTTTGGTCTGGCTTCTTAAACTTAGCATAATGTTTTCAAGGTTCGTTCACCTTTTAGTGTGTGTCAGCTCTTCATTCTTCTTATGACTGAATAATATTGGCTCAGTCGGTTAAGCATCTGCCTTTGGCTCAGGTCATGATCCCAGGGTTCTGGCATCGAGCCCCACGTCGGGCTCTCTGCCTAGTGGGGAGTCTGCTTCTCCCTCTCCCTCTGCCCCAACCCCCCGCCCCAGCTCCTGTGTGCACGCTCTCTCTCTCTCTCTCTCATAAGTAAAAAGTCTTTTTAAAAAATTACATCGAATGGTTTGCCACGTTTTTACTTATCCATTTGTTAGTCGGTAGACATTTGGGTTGTTAACAGTTTGGGGCTGTTACACATAAAGCTGCTATGAACGTTCGCTTTTGTGTTTTTGTATAGACAGAGGTTTTCATTTCTCCTGGATGTGTGCCTAGGCGTGGAATGGCTAGGTCATGTGGTAACCTTGTGTTTAACCTTCTGGGGAACTGGCAGGCTGGTTTCCAAGCAGCTACACCATTTCTCTTTCAGTTTATAAAGAGTTTCCATTTCTCCCCATTGTCAGCAGCACTTACCTTTGTCTGACTTTCCGATCCTAGCGGTCCTGGTGGATCTCACTGTGGTTGTGATTTGCAGTTCCTTGATGAGCATCCTCTCGTATGCTTACTGGACATTCGTATATCATCTTTGGGGATGTGTCTGCTCAGATCCTTTGCCCCGTTTTAAGTTGGGTTATTTGTCCCAAATAATGAGTTGTAACAGTTCCATCTATTCTTAATGATTTTTTTTCTCCATGTTACAGTTTTCTGCAGTCACTTTGCTGAAAATGTTGGGAGCCTCCCTGTATGAGTGCTCAGGTTCATAGGAGGAGCCGAGCATTGTGGTGCATTAGTAACTAAAAACTGCAGTCAGAGGCAGGGCTGAATGGCATGCCGCCCTCCAGCACATTTCATCATTGCTTGAGTGGGGATGTGGGAGGCACGCTCACACACTCCAGATGATGGGGAAAGCACTGGGAGGGAATAGCTGATTCACTGGGCGGCAGAATCATGATCTTGATGGTGTGGAATGACCAACTGAAACTTAAAAGATGGGGATAGCTCATGGGGAGTGATAGAGAAATGTTAGTGGCCAAGTGTTTCTTGGCCCTCAAGAGAAAGACCACAGGGTTCTGGATGACCAAGAGGTGTGGCATGTGCCCAGTTAAAGAGAAATATATGGAAAAGAGAGCTCTGTGTAATTTAGCATGCCCCTGAAAACATGAATGCATGCATGAATGTCTAGAGCGAAGAAGGTCCCAGTTCTGTGATCTGTGTCGGTCCCCTCTGTGTGGCTTTAGCACTGTGGAGTTGTGGTTTTGGTGCGGTGGTGGTGTTTTTTAGAGAGTGCGGCGGGGGATGCAGAGGGAGCGAGAGAAAATCTCAAGCAAACTCCGCACTGAGCATGGAGCCCGATGCAGGGGTTGATCTCGTGACCCTGAGATCATGACCTGAGCCGAAACCAAGAGTCAGATGCTTAACCGACTGAGCCAGCCAGGCGCCCTAGCACCATGGAGTTTTTCCATGAAGTCTGAATTTCTGAAAGAAGTAATTAGGTTGGTGTCCCTTCAGCTGTGGTATCATCTCATTTATTGGCCCTTTCTGTTCATGTCCTAGTCTGGTTAGAAGACCCAGTATGCCGCTATAATCGTGGGTTCAGATCTGAAGCAGGAATGTAAGCTTTTTTTCCCTTAAATGGTTTTCTTCAGGTATTTTTGGTGGTGTCAGGGCACGTACGCCGTGATGGATGGCCATGTCACTGAGGTTCCCCCTCGTAAGCACTTGCCTAAGGCCTGCCCCATCTCACACTCACAGTCAGAGCTCAGAAAACATCTGACAGTGTACATGTTAGGCGTTATGTGCCAGTTGTTTGTGTTATGGGTGGGTTGCCTATCCAGCAACCTCTTCCAAACAGAACCCAGTTTTATTTGGGACGTCCCCCATCCCTCTCCCTCACATATGAAATCAGTGCGTCAGAGAAGCCAACTCTCCACCCAGCTCAGGAATGATCCTCATGTGTCAGTGATTGGTTCCGGAATGGACGTGTGACCCAGTTTGAGCCAGTGAAACTCAGGAGTTTTTTGGAAAATTCTGGGGAGTCTTTCCTTGCTCCTCTAGGAAAGATCCAGAAGCAGTAGGCTGTTTTCAGTCTGGGTGATTCTGTGGAGGGAGGAGCTGCTGAATTCCTGCCGTATCTCCACTCACTGCCAGGATGAGCTGACACAGAGGAGGGCAGAGCTGTGAGGGGCCAGAGCGCCATGGTGCCCATGCTCTGCATTTCCAGTCCCCGGAGCCAGGGAAGGTCCCAGGTCCTTCCCGCTTTTACTTTTGTTACTTGTGGCTAGAGATACCACAACTGACCTAAAAACAACAGTTTAGAAATTATGTTAGTTTAAATGCCAACCCCGAGATCATGATCTGAGCCGAAATCGGGAGTCGGATGCTTAACTGACTGAGCCACCCAGGCGTCCTTGTTAGTTTTACTCTTGATCCATGGATGACTTCTGCTGCCCTTTTGTTCCATAAGGCATCTCAGTAATTAAGCTGTCACTTGTGCAGAAAGGCCATGATTTGTAGCTTTGCGCTGGTATTACTCTCTAAAGGAGACACCACAGGCTGTACGTGCTTGGGACCAGTGGGGGTCAGTCATCTTTACCCAAGACACTGATGCTTGGGTATTTACCTCTGCTCCTTTTCTTGGTCATCAGTGTAGCGTGGTTGGGAAGAATTTTGCTATTGTGGCAGTTTCTAGTTTTGATTTGAGAACCTCCCTGGTGAAATCCTACTGTTCCTACCATGTAGGAGGTTTAATTAGGGGAAGGTCCAGCCTCATGACTACCATGTTTTCCTGGCAGAACACCCTCAGCCTCCAGGGTGTGCCATTCGCTGGGTTTGATTGTGATCCTGGGAGGTTTCCTTGCATCGCCTCCGTATTTGTGTTGGGAGCTCATTGCTCATCTCACGCCAGGGAAGATTGCTGCAGTGTAGAGGTGTTGAACCAAAGATTCTGTGACGCAGGCCTGCCTTTTGTGGTCTCTGCCCAAATGGTTCGGCCTGATGAAGACGCGGGCTGCGCTGAGGACATTCCGTCCAGCTCGTCAGTTCTGGGTTCTCAGCGTCACTGCGCCCCCGGGAGCAGCTGGGTGCACGCCGGTCCCCTCTTTGCCTTGAGAGGAAAATCTCTTATCTAAGTAAATGACAATGTTTTCACTGGCGGGTATGACTATATAAAGGAGGTTTTTTTCAGTATCTTGATTTCTTTTTGGAATCTTAGAACTCCGTTTTCTGCTTCCTCATTTCCGACTTTATCCCATTCCCGGAGCGTCGGGCCCGGGTGCTGTCGGTGTTCACGGCGCCAGCCCGGGTCGGGTTGCCTGTTTTACAGGTGATCGGCTGTTGTTAGCAGCGGGCTCCAGAGAGCACCGAGTTTTTATGTCTGCACTCACTGTTCCTCAGAGAGAGAGTGGTGTTTTGGTTACCTTGTATTTTGTCTTCGTGCCAAACATGAAACTGGAGAGTGTCTTAACATTTTAAAATGTGACTCTAAGTAATCCATTCTAATCCCAAATCATTCTTTACATCTTAGAAATGTCTTCACTCACTGTTTCGGGTTTTGGGGTTTTTTTCACTGTTTTTGTTTTAACCATGTGGCATTTTTATGTTGCTTCAGTTAGTATTTATCACAACTTTTTCCCAGAGGGAGCGAGTTGATGTTTTACATCAGGAATTAAAGCACACGGACCTCAGTGGGATGCTTGGGTTTGTTTGAGACACACGGTGAAAAGGTTGTGTCTGCATGTTAGGTTTCTTCAAGCGTTCTCGCACGTCAGAATTGTTCACTTCCCAAGAGTGCAGACGTTGGTGAGGCGGAAAACCGGGACTATGCAGACCTGGATTGTGGGGGTTTTCGTTGTTGTTGTTGTTGTTAAGATTGTATTTATTTATTTATTTGAGAGAGAGAGTGCAGGGGGAGGGGCAGAGAAAGAGAGGAGGGGGAGAGAGAGAATCTCAGGCAGACTCCCCGCTGAGCACAGAGCGGGATGCAGGGCTCAATCTCACGACCCTGAGATCATGACCTGAGCTGAAATCCAGAGTCGGACGCTTAATCGACCCTACCACCCATCATGCACCCTCTGGGTTATGTTTTAGAAAGTAGTTACTAAGCCCAGTTGGCCTGAGTTTCCTCCTTTGTAAAATGGGATGGTGACTATCTTCAGAGTCGTGAGGATTACAGAAGAATGGGTGTGAAGTGTTTCACATGGTGCCTGAACGCCATAGGTCTCAAGCAGATGGTGGACTTACGTTCTAGAACTCAGGTGACCGTGTATCTCTGTTGGCCTGGGACAGCTCTGTTTTGTGCCAGTTGTCCCAGCATAATTTTTAATAGCACCTCCTTCCTCTTTCAGAAGTGTCCCAATTTGGACAATGATTATATGGTCATCCCAGTTAGAACCCTGAAGTATCTTGAAACCCTAGTAAATCTAGGAAATGAATCTGAGGCTTTTTGTCCTGTTTCCACCCCGCCCTTGGCTACTTGCTCTCAGCCTTGGGCATTGATTTCCAGTTACGAGTAGAAGCCACCAGGCGCGCCTACAGTACTAACAGATGCTCGCCACACTCTGTGTCTGTGGAAAGCAAGTCTCTGAAGAAGCCAGGTGCCCGGGTTGAATATCTTCTGTGTTTCAGGAACCATCTGTAATCCCGGACCACGGAAATCTATGTCCAAACTGCTTTACCTCCGCCTCGCGCTCTTTCTGCCAGAGATGGTCTGGGCTTCTCTGGGGTCCGCCTGGATAGCAGACGACGTGCAGTGTGACAGGACGGTGGTGAATGGCGTCATTGCCACCGTCATCATCAGGTCAGGTCTTCGTCTTCTCTCTCAGTTCCTTGGCTCGGATGCATTTGAGATGTAAGAAGCAGACCTTTCTGAGTCACTGCAGATAGCCCCAAGTCATGTGGGCTTCCTAAAATTGTTAGAAGTTGCACCTTTTTGAGTAAATCCTAAAAATTGAGAGACATGGGTTTATAATATAAGAAACAATTCATCTCCTGTTAACGCATTTATTGATATCATTTTCTTTCTTGCTGGTTCTCATTCTTCTGCATTCTATCCCTTCTGTTTTTGTTTTTTTTTTTAAAGATTTTATTTATTTATTTGACAGAAAGACAGCGAGAGAGGAAACACAAGCAGGGGGAGTGGGAGAAGGAGAAGCAGGCTTCCCACTGAGCAGGGAACCCGATGCGGGGGGCTCGATCCCAGGACCCCTGGGATCACGACCTGAGCCGAAGGCAGACGCTTAACGACTGAGCCACCCAGGCGCCCCTATCCCTTCTGTTTTAAGAAGGAAGAAAACCCAAAGACCAATTCAAGGGCAAAAACTAAAGGCAGGATGAGAAGAAACGCGGTGTCAGGAATCGTGACAGGGACTAACGCACGGGATCGGGTTTTCGCAGTTTCCAGGCTCACAGTCTCAGGAACAATCCGGGGACTTGTGCTGATGCCGGCCGGCCCACGCCACATGCGTGCGGGCAGCAGATCCCCTTCGCAGAGGCGCATCTTCCCGTGGCACACGTGTCTGGGAACCGCAGTGTCTGGCATGTTGTTCCTCACACGTATGAATGAAAGACCCATCAGAGTTTCCCACGATGTGGCACAGTTCTTTCGGTTTTACTGAGAAGAACCCCGAGGCACTGAGGAGTAAGGGCCTGGGTCATGGCCAGTGGACCATGGAGAACAGGTTCCAGCTACTTCCGTGCCCAGGCTGCAACTCTGCCTACCAGGCATCTGCTTTTTTCTTTTGTGATCTTCACTTCTAAGGCTCTGATTTTTGTGCGGCCTGGGCCAGCCACAGGCTCATAAAGAACTTTCTAGGGACACCTGCGTGGCTCAGTCGGTTAAGCGTCTGCCTTCGGCTCAGGTCATGATCTCAGGGTCCTGAGATCGAGTCCCGCATCGGGCTCCTTGCTCGGCGGGAAGCCTGCTTTTCCCTCCGCCTGCCCCTCCCCCTGCTTGTACTCTTTCTCTCTCTGACAAATAAATAAATAAAATCTTTAAAAAAAAAAAAGAACTTTCTAGAAGAAACAAGTTGCTCACCTCAACCTGGTTCTGGGAGATCCGCATCTGGATGTGGGACCAGGGTCATCATGCCTTCTCTCTCTGTTTTGCAGTTGGATTATCATCATCTCCACTGTGGTCACCATCATCATCGTCTTTGACCCCCTCGGGGGGAAAATGGTTCCGTATCCCTCCTCTGGCCCCAACCACCTGGATAGTCATGAGTCGAGCCAGCTACTTAACGGCCTCAAGACAGCAGCTACCAGCGTGTGGGAGACCAGAATCAAGTTCCTGTGCTGTTGTGTCGGGAAAGACGACCATACTCGAGTTGCTTTTTCGAGTACGGCAGAGCTTTTCTCAACCTACTTTTCAGTAAGCTGAAGGGGTCTGCTTTCGTCTCTTTCTCCTAAGTAAATGTCTCTTATGTTAAGATGAATACTCTCTTTGGAGCTGATGGCTGATCCCCCGTTCACGTCAAGAGCTCTTGCCCACGTGTGGTCTGTGGTGTGGCGGAGTCGGGGGGAGACTAGGGGCCGTTAACCCAGGGCCCTGAGCTTGTGGGCCCCGTCTCTCTGGTCAGTGCGTCCTGGTGTTGCCACCTGTTTGTTACACTGTCAGGATTTTTAGTTCATTTTTAAGGAGCTAAATGATGGAACCTGCATATTTTGGGATGATTTGCCAGTTGTCTGAATCGTCTGTCCTCCATCCAGCTGGTCCTCTGCAGGCGCCAGGTGTGGGCGGTGTCATGCATCCAGGGTGGTATCAGACCTTGTTTACTACTTTATAGCATGATAGAAATGATAGATTATTCTGCTTTTGAAGGAGAGTTTGAATATGTTATTACAATGTAGGAAGGCATCTTCGTTCTAGAGCAGTTTCTTCAGTGATTTGGAAATACTCATTTTTCTTTCACATCCGTCGTTTTCCTGTAATGTTCTCTGGTAAACTGTTGTGTTCGGCACTGACACCAGGTAAGGGAGACGCGTTCTCATGACGTCCTGCACGACTGCCGGTCCCTCCTTGCTCTGTGCAGTGTCTGCATCTGCAGGGCCCAGGGCCGGCCCAGTAGGCTGGTAGCAGTCGCCACAACAGCCTCCATGTCGGGACTGGAGAAGTGGGTCTCCCTGAAGTAACCTTCAAGGAGTGCTTCAGTCTGGCCTTCAGACAGCTGGGAGAACCGATGGCTCAGAGGCCGAGTGGCCAGTGCCTGGTCCGTCCCTGTGGACCAGAAGTGCCTGGAGGCAGCAGAGGAGTCTGCCTGAGGGAGAAGGGGGGAGGCAGGCACAAGAGACGCCCTCTGTTGCTGTCCTAGTTTGAGATTCTTTTGGAGGCTTGCTGTAGCCGGTGAGTCTAAGTTCAGTCTCTCAAATCTCTACCAGGGACTCTGAACAAAACCAGGGCATCTTGAGCAAGAGGCTAAATTTGGGCTAAAATTGGCCATTACTACAAAGATGGTGAACTTACCCATTTGCTCCCAACTATACAAAAGCTGTGAAGTCAGTTAAGTTACTTGAAATGAAATTTGAAAATAAAAGCTCAGCAACATTTCTGTGTTCTCTGGTGGATTTGTCTGAGGGCAGGATAGTAAAAATCATCAAGCTCACATATAGAAGGAGTCTTGAAAATACTTCTAAGGAACCTCTTTACACATACCTGTGTATGTGTGCGCGTATGAACTGTAAAAAACGGATTTTAAAAAGGAATTCATGGGCCGTCCCTGCTGAGTTTATGACAAGCCACTGTTTACATCCAGGACACAGACCTGGTGCCCAGCGACATCGCGGCAGGCCTCACCCTTCTCCATCAGCAACAGGACAATATCAGGAACAGCCGGGAGCCGGAGGGGGTGATCGGCCATTCCCCGGGGCCCCCCCAGGTAAGCCCCTTTCTGGTGGCTGGTACAGTTTTGACATTTACTCCTATTAATACATCTTCAAAAAACAAAACAGACTGGCCAGCAATGATTTCAGGACAGTTGGCTTAGAATCTGATGTGTGGCTTCTGCTAGTTGTGGTCCCTCGGGTAGAGGGAGCCCATTCCTGACCACTTCACCCTCCATTTTATTTTTTTATTTTTTTAAAGATTTTATTTATTTATTTGACAGAGACATAGAGAGCACAGATAGGCAGAGCGGCAGGCAGAGGGAGAGGGAGAAGCAGGCTCTCCGCGGACCAGGGAGCCCAACGCGGGGCTCGATCCCAGGACCCTGGGATCATGACCTGAGCCGAAGGCAGGTGCTTAACTGACTGAGCCACCCAGGTGCCCCTCCTCCATTGTATTTTTAAAGCATTCTCTTTTAGGAAATTGGCTGAAGTCAACATAGCAAAAATTCTTTCTGGGATGGGCCTGATTCCCCCTGGGCGTGTTTGCTCTCTTCTCTGGGCCAAGGGAGCAGAACAGTTGGGTTTTGCTGGAGGAGTTTTCCTGCCACAGCTGTTTAGGCTTCTGAAAGAGAAGGTTGCACGCGGATGGATGGGTTTCTCTGCCCCTCACGCAGGTGCCCGGGCCTTCCGGCTCTGCTGCCGCGGGGGCCTGGCGCTCTGCTTGTCCTCATGCGCTTCCAACTCAGTCCCTGGCTCGTTCCAGCAGGGGCCACAAAAGTCAGCAGGGATTTTTGCTGTTCATTTCCACCATACTTGCTGCATTCCTGTAAAGTGAGGGGTCTGTTTTAGTCCGCGTTTAAAGACGAGTTTCCCCTGTGGAAGTCTGCTGAGGTCTGTTCAGTGAGGGAAGAAAGGGGCATCAGGAGTTCGAGTTCAGGTTTATGACCTTTGTGAGTTGGTCTTGTCCGTAATGGGTTCCCCGAAACAAAAAGCTGTTTTTCTTCTCTTCAGGAAGCTGATTTGGACGCCGAGTTAGCCAATTGTCACCATTATATGCAGTTTGCAGCAGCGGCCTATGGGTGGCCTCTCTACATCTATCGGAACCCCTTCACCGGGCTCTGCAAGATTGGCGGGGACTGGTAGGTGGGCGCGCCTGGGCCCCCCGCCTGCCTTCCGCCCGTCACTCCGACGGTGCCCCACTGTAGTTTCTAAAAATAATCCCGTTTCCCCTTTCCCAAAAACGTTCTGTTTTGAAACATGTCAAAACCGCGAGTGCAGTACCGAGAAGGCCCGTGGATCGTTTATCTGGAGCCACCAGTCGTGACTTGTGTGGTCACATGCGCTGTGTCACCATCGCTTCCTGCCAGGCTGCCCGCGCAGAGGGCACGGCCCTGTCCGCGTTTCCTGAGGACGAGGCCTCCTTTTACGTACTCCGCACGCCCCGCACCAGCGCAGCTCGCGTTAAGCAGTAGCTCCCTTAGGTTGTGGCCAGTTTCCCATTTGGGCCAGTAGGAGCCTTCAGAGCAAGGTTTCCTCCACGTGAGGCTCACGCGTGGCGCTTGGCTGTCTGTCTGGAACAGTTCCGTGGTATTTCCGGTCTTGCGTGCTGGTGACATTGCCTTGCACGGTAGTCTACGTATTTTGTGAACGGCCCTCAGTTTGTATTTGTCTGATGGTTTCTTCTGGGTTGGAGTCGAGTACACATTTTTGGCAGGAATTCCTCGGGAGGAACATCCTGCCCTTCTTGGTCCATCATAGGAGGAAACAAGGTGCCAGTTTGTCCCATTCCTGGAGATTTTAAAGTCTCTCCCATTCTTAATATAATTTATTTTTTGAATACGTAAAACATTAACATGACCCCAGAAGTCAGAACTGTAGTGAGAGGTGTGCCTGGAAATAGCGCAGGCTGTTCTCCTGGACCCAGAGGAAGGGCTGAACCTTGTGAGCCCGGGGCTCGCGGCTGCTGGGGAAGCGGGGGGCGGGCCTGATGTTCCCTGGTCGGTACTGTAACTGACACATTTGCCTGTGTATTTAGTTGTCGAAGCAGGACGACGGAATATGACTTGGTCGGAGGCGATCAGCTCCACTGTCACTTCGGCTCCATCCTGCACACGACGGGCCTGCAGTACAGGGACTTCATTCACATAAGCTTTCATGACAAGGTCAGTACAGCGGCGCCTCGTCCCTGCTCTGGGGTCGCGGGGTCCTTCGAGAGTGTGATGGAAGTTAGAAACTATCTCCCCCAGAACAGTGCGCGTAGACGCACGCACACACACGCACGCACGGTTTGCATGCCGGTTCAGGGGGCTCCCAGGCCCTCCCATCCCAGAGATGGAGCCGGAAGTCCTTGTAGAGATACATCGTGGGTTCTTAAGCAGACCACCATCTGTGGAAGAACGGCCGGGCCCCACGGCTGAATTGTGAACTGTTAAGAGACGCCGGGCCGGCCGAACTCGGCCCTGTAGCTGCGCGCTCTCACTGTCGAAAACTCATGCTTCTTTCCCTCGCCTCCAGGTCTATGAGCTTCCCTTTTTAGTGGCTCTGGACCACAGGAAAGAATCTGTTGTGGTAGCCGTGAGAGGAACGATGTCTCTGCAGGTAAGGGGCCTGATGCTCGAGGCCCGGGGACAAGGGGTGGGGTGAACAGCAAGCCACGGGTACCGGGAGACCCGCCTTTGCTGGAACGGAGGGTAGAGCCCTCATCGGTTAGAGCAGGAGATGTAGCCGGAAACACCAGGATAGAAAGTGCAGAAGCAGACCCAGGGCTGTGAAATGCTGCCTTTGGAGAAGTGGAGGGAATCGTTTCCTTTCCACCGAGAAGTGTCAGAAACAGACCAGCAGGCTTGGGTTCCCTGCTGGAGAACTTCCTCCAGAGGCGCCCGCCTGACTCTCGGGGGTGCGGGGCCTGCCGTGTATGTCTGTTCCCCCCGCCAGCCAGCCCTGTCCTGGCCGGCCCGGCCCCGCCTTCTCGGCCCTGTGCGGATAAGTGGGCAGCTGCTGCCCTCCTTCCATGTCGTGCTCTCTGGTCTGTTCTTGGCCCTTGCTCCATCTCATTTCCTGGTCCTCACTTCCCTGCTGACGCAGAAAGTGTAGCGAGACGCCACAGTGTGAGCCTTCGGCCCCCTGCGGGGCAGGGCCTGCCGCTCGGAGCGTTGGCGGGGACTGTGCACCTGCCCAGGGCCCTGCCTGGGGCACCGAGGAAAGCAGATGCCTCACCTCTGGCCCCCATTTCTAATAATTCTGCAGCATCCCCCAGCTGGCCCCTGAAGGCACCATGGAGTGGTCCTCGCTTTCTCTCCTGGCTTCCTGCCTGGTCTCTCTGGCTGTCTCTCCATTTACGGCCCCATGGCCCCCATTGTGGCCCCGTCTCCCCTCCCAGGCCTGGGAAGCAGTTTTCTACCTTGGTCCCTGTCTCTGGTTTCTTATCTTTCCAGTCAGTCCTCATACCATCCACAGAGAACTCTTTCTAGAACGTGGGTCAGATGTTATCACTGCTTCTTAGAAACCTCCCTCGGCCCCCCCATTTACTTTTTTTTTTTTTTAAGATTTTATTTATTTTTTAGAGAGAGAAAACGTGTGAGCAGGGGGAGGGGCAGAGGGCGAAGAGAGAGGGAATCTTTTTATTTTTTTATTTTTATTTTTTTTAATTTTTTTTTAAAGATTTTATTTATTTATTTATTTGAGACAGAGAGAGAGACAGAGAGCATGAGAGGGAGGAGGGTCAGAGGGAGAAGCAGACTCCCTGCCGAGCAGGGAGCCCGATGCGGGACTCGATCCCGGGACTCCAGGATCATGACCTGAGCCGAAGGCAGTCGCTTAACCAACTGAGCCACCCAGGCGCCCAAGAGAGGGAATCTTAAGCAGGCTTCTCACCCACTCTGAAGCCCAACACGGGGCTCGATCTCATGACCCTGAGATCCTCTGACCTGAGCCGAAATCAAGAGTCAGATGCTGGGCGCGCCTGGGTGGCTCAGTTGGTTAAGCGACTGCCTTCGGCTCAGGTCATGATCCTGGAGTCCCTGGATCGAGTCCCACATCGGGCTCCCTGCTCGGCAGGGAGTCTGCTTCTCCCTCTGACCCTCCCCCCTCTCATGCTCTCTCTCTCTATCTCATTCTCTCTCTCAAATAAATAAATAAAATCTTTAAAAAAAAATTACCTCTATGTTGCATTTGGGTTACACATTTTAAGACTTTTATTTTTTTGGGCGCCTGGGTGGCTCAGTTGGTTAAGCGACTGCCTTCAGCTCAGGTCATGATCCTGGAGTCCCGGGATCGAGTCCCGCATTGGGCTCCCTGCTCGGCGGGGAGTCTGCTTCTCCCTCTGACCCTCCTCCCTCTCATGCTCTCTGTCTCTCATTCTCTCTGTCTCAAATAAATAAATAAAATCTTTAAAAAAAAAAAAAAAAAAGAGTCAGATGCTTAACTGACTGAGCCACCCAGGCACCTCACCCCATTACTTTTTTTTTTTTTAAAGATTTTATTTTTATTTATTTGACAGAGACACAGCAAGAGAGAGAGCACAAGCAGGGGGAGTGGGAGAGGGAGAAGCAGGCTTCCCGTGGAGCAGGGAGCCCGATGCAGGGCTCCATCCCAGGACCCTGGGATCATGACCCGAGCTGAAGGCAGACGCTTAACCAACTGAGCCACCCAGGCGCCCCCCCCGACCGTTAGTTTTTAATAGAAAATTCACGTGTCTTATCACAGCTCTGTTGATGCTTTGTGACTTGACCCCAGCCTGCCTTTCTGGTTCCCGCCCAGAGCTCAGCCTGCCGGTGGTTCTCCAGTGGGCTGCAGTCCCCTTGAGCTTTGCAGGGTATCACTATGGAGTCCCATCCCCAGCGGGTTAACTGCATTGGGTCCTGGGGATGCACTTGCCTCTCGGGCTCTGCCCGCGGCCCCTCTGAGCACCCATGCGCCTGGCCCTGTGTCTCCTTCCTGTGCTCAGACGCTCTGCAATGGGTCCTCTTGGCCCCTTAGGTGGGGTTGCCCACCTCTCTCTGTTCCCTGAAAGCAAGTTTTCCCTTTAGTCTTTGGCTTAGGTGCCACCTCCTCCAGGAAGCCCACCCCCACCCCCGCCCTGTAATACACACCCCTCTCCCCTCTGATGCATCTCTTACCCTCCCTTAGCTTTCAGTGAGCCGTTGATAGCCCCTTGAGGACAGGAAGCATGCTTTGTTCAAAACCCAGGTACAGGACTCTGTGCTTCATGGGTACTTAGAAGAGGTGTGCAGTGAGGGAAGGCAGCAGGTGTGTCTTAGCCATGTCCCACACCCCCTCCCTGCCGACCGTGGGTCCCTCGGGAGCTTCCTAGCCTCCTGGGTTTCCTTCCCAAGGTCAGGTGTCAGGTTCAGTCCTCAACAGTCTGACCCAGGAGACCGTAGCGCTCCGCGGTCCTTCAGAGGGACCTGCCCCCCGGCCGCCATGCACAGCTCGTCCCAACAGCCTCTTCCAATGCACTCTTTGTAGGACATCCTCACGGACCTGTCAGCGGAGAATGAGACCCTCAACTTAGAGTGTGGGGTGCAAGACTGTTCGGCACACAAGGTACAAGCCCTGGGGTGTGTGTTCAGGAATGTTCCGTTACGGTGAAGCTAAAAGGGGTCAGGATTTTTCCAACTCTGACTCTCTCCCGGGAATGCTAACCATACAACAGGTAGCTACCAGGTGCCAAGTGCTGTGCAAAGTAAGTGCTTTTCATTCTTTTCGTGGAAATTCTCATGACAACCTCGTGAGGTTGCTTTGGTTTTTTAAGAGAAAGGAGCAGGTTCAGAGCCATCGAGGGACTTGCCGGAGGCCACACAGTTACTGGAGTAAGTGCCAGTTGGCATTTGAACCCCAGTCGAACGCTCTTCCCTTGACCAAAGTCCTATATTGTGGAGAAGAGAAGCTTCAGCTGAGTACAGGGCCCCCGCCCGGGAGTGCCTCCCATGTCCCCCCACCCTCCCACGGCCCCCCGAGTGGCAGGCACCCCCAGCACTTCCCCGTGGCCCGGCCGGTTCCCTCCGCCGGTGTCACAACACACGGTTCTCCTTTCGGTCTTACTGTGCGGGACCGCAGCGGCCTGCCTCGGACGGACTTGTTTTCTAAAAGGGTTTTAATTGTGTAACATGATGTTCATCATTGCACCCCTTTCCCTTTGTAAGCATCCGATTCGGCGGCGGCAGAGACTCCCAGAGGCTCTGTACTTCTCATCATCCCAAACATAAACTCTGTATCCGTGAGCGATGGCTCCTCCCGCCCCACGCCCAGCCCCTGGTAACCTAGTACCCCCCAGGGCGCTGGTTCTCGGGACCCCCCAGAAGTGGAGTCACGCGGCTGTTTGTCCTTTCACTGAGCACAGCGTCCTCGAGGTGGATCCAAGCGGTAGCACGTGTCAGAGGCCCCTTCCCCTTGTGGCTGAGCGACGCCGCGCTGTGTGCGGCGCCCACCTTTGCTTGATCCGGTCGTCCGCGGATGGACGGGGGGTCACGCCCAGGCGTCGGTCGGCGTCAGCGCTGTTGCTGGAAACAGGGACGGACAGACAGCTGTCCGAGTCCCTCCTTCCCGTGCTTTAGGGAACCTGCCCAGACGTGGGGTTGCGTGTCTGGTGGTGGTTGCCGCGTTTAACGTTTCAAGGGACCACCGGGCTGTGTTCCAGCGCACTGCACCATCTCCCGTCCCACCAGCGAGCAGCCAGGCCCTCGTTCTGCACGTGCTTGTTGCCGCTTACTTTCCGGGTTTCGGTGCTTCCAGCCGGACGTGCTAGTGGGCGCGAGGCGGTATCTCACTGTGGTTTGGGCTCACGTTTCCCGGATGACGAATCAGGTTGCAGAGCAGGGCGTTTGCACGTTTGAGGGAATGATTCTGTCCCGGAGGTTCCAGCAGCTCCTTCCGGGGAGAGGGATGTCGGGGTGGAGGGCGGTGGGCCTGTGCTGTTTTTATATACTTGTGTGTTTTTTAACCAAAACCCGTATTACTTCTCTGGTGATCATGTTTTAAGTAAAAAGTGTAATCTTTATAAAGATGTGTGTCGGAACCAGAGTGTAGCTGATGGAGCCCCACGGTCCCACCTGGACGGTTTTCAGGACAGGGCCAGACTGGAGCCAGACTGGAGGCTTTTGTTCTGCCACCAGTTAGAAGTGGGACAGCCCTGGGAATGTGAATTTTCCCCTTTAACCCTTAACTGTCTTTTTGGGTCTCAAGTCACAGAAGAGTCCAGTGTCACTACTGGGCACGTGTGAAGAGAAAGAGAAATGTTCTACTTTCTTACAGAGACACATCAACTCGCCAACCACACAATACCCAGCAGGATCCCGTGGGCTGGGCTGCGGCTGTGTTCTTAGAATCGGCCCGCAGCTCGAGGCTTTGTGCGTGCACGAGGTGCACTCTGGGCCTGGCCCCCTCCAGCCCGGTTCCCGCCGGGGGCAGCTCCCTCAGGCCGGGAAGGCGGTGGCGGCGGCGGCGGCGGCGGGCCTGAGGGCAGAGCTGTTCTCCGCCTCTGATCCCGGTCCCAGCGGTTGGAGCTCGAAGCTGTGCCGCTGAACGCAGTCTTGGCCCTTCTGGGGCTGGCGGGGGGAGTGTCGGTGTGTGTGATGCAGGCCAGGGCCTCCGCCACGGCCGCTGTGTCCAGGTCCCTTTCGGCTTCAGCTGTCCCGAGGCGGACACGTGGTGGGTCCCCGCGGCGGGTGGGAGGTGGCTGCACGGCCGGCCGCGGGGGAGGCCGGGAAGCGCGGTGGTCCGTCAGGAGGTGCTCTTCCCAGACGGTAAACCCGTCAGACCTCCTCTTAGCTTCCCTTGGATGTGGCCCGGTCAGCCCTCTCCCGCGGAACTCGATAGCGACCGACTCGGGAATTTGCAGGAGCTTTCGAGGCAGCCGCGAGTCTCCCATCTCGGCCCAGGATCTCTCCCGCTTTGTGCGGGGGGAGAAGACAGGCCCGTCTCGTCCACGGGGTGCTCTGTCCTCCGTGGAGACGGCTTCATTTTCAGGAAGCCTGGTTCTTAGGACAGCTGTATTTGTTAGGTTTTATGTTGTATTTATTCTCTGGAATTAAAACCTAACCTTCCTAGAACTCAGCTTCCAGTGGTCTTCGTTTTGCCTCTGCAGAAACCGGATGCTGAATCCGTTAGCACCGATTCAGAACTTTATGTTTTAACGTCTTGTTAAAAGATCAGTCATTTATCATCTAAATGGGACCGGCCATCGGGACCGTGGCCCGCGCATACAGCAAAATACCGTGTGGCTGCAGAAAAGCCACGGAAAGATCCGTTGGCTGGAAAGGTGTTGTGGGTGGTCCCCGGAACTAGTCACGGAGCACCCGCTCCACGTGGAGCCCATCCCTGCGCCGGGGGCCAGGAGCACGGCGGGGCGCGGTAGCTGCGGCCGCCGATTCCCCGACGCTCACCTCGGCTCTGGGGAGACGCAGAAGCGTGCACGGCGTAGCCCTGTCATGGGGCCGAACCTGCCTCGTCCGATGACCAACAGCCGCCCTCTCTTGTCTGCATTTTTAGGGGATTTCTCAAGCCGCCAGATACGTTTACCAGCGCCTCGTCAACGATGGGATTTTGAGCCAAGCATTCAGCATCGCTCCCGTGAGATTCTGATTTGCCTTTTCTTTCGCTGTCTGTCCCGCGTGCGCAGTCTGCTCCTTGGCCCTCACCGTGCCGCCTTCTCTGTTGGCCCGCAGGAGTACCGGCTGGTGGTGGTGGGCCACAGCCTGGGGGCGGGCGCCGCGGCCCTGCTGGCCATCATGCTCCGGAGCGCGTACCCGCAGGTCCGCTGCTACGCCTTCTCCCCGCCCAGGGGGCTGCTGAGGTACGTGCGTGGGGGCCGCTCCGCCGCCGGGACTTCCTTGCGCGCGCGCCCGCCGCGCCGGCCTGTTTGAAGGCCTGGTCGGTGGAGACGCTGAAGGGCCTCTCCCGGGGCCGCGGGAGCGGAGCTCCGCGCTCCTGCCGGTGCAAGCGGACGTGCAGCCGCCCGGCGGCCCGGCATTAGGGCCGGGGGCGCGAGGTCACGATCTGGGCCGTGACTGCGCGCAACGCAGAAGACGCGTCTGTCGCTTCCCGTAGTGACGGAATTCGGGTTTTTTCTTGTGGGGAGAACCTGGAAGATTTTTTCTCTTGGCAACTTCCAGACGCACAGCAGGTGACTGTAGTCGCCCAGCTGTGTATTCTGTCCCCGTCAGTGACTGTGACGTACTTATAACGGGGACTTTGTGCCCTTTGACTCCCTTCTCCTGTCCCACAGGCCCCACCTCTGCAACCACCAACCCCCAGTGTCTAGATTTGTGAGCTTGGTTTTTGGTTTGCGGTTGGTTGGTTTTCTAGATTTCACACGTAGGTGAGATCCCGCAGTGTTCGTAAGGATGAAGAAGTCTGTGCGCCTTACCTCGGGGAGCATAATGCCCTCCGGGTCCATCCGTGTTGTTACAAATGGCAGGACTTCCTTCTGCTTTATTCCGTCTTCATTCTTTCACGGCCATCGTGTGCATATACGCACACACAACCCTGTCTGATCCGCTCACGTGCTGACGGACCCTTCCGCTGCGCTTTGCACATGCCGGCTGGTGCAAATGACGGTGCCGCGAACACGGGAGTGCACACATCTCTTCAAGTCGGTATTTCGCTTCCTTCGGCCGCGTACCCGGAAGTGGCATTGCCGGATGATACGGTAGTTCCACTTTGCCCTTTCTGAGGAACCTCCGTACTGTGTTGCCCAGCAGCTGCGCCTACTTACATTCCCCCCAGCAGCACACGAGTGTTCCCTGTTCCCCACGTCCTCGCGCCCACTTGACATATCTGGGTTTGGGGGGCTTTTTTGTTTTTTTTTTAAGATAAATTCCCATGGCTATAAAGGACACACGACTTTTTCTTTTTTTTCTTTTTTTTTTTTTTAAGATTTTATTTTTATTTATTTATTTGATAGAGACAGAGACAGCGAGAGCAGGAACACAAGCAGGGGGAGTGGGAGAGGGGGAAGCAGGCTTCCCGCCGAGCAGGGAGCCCGATGTGGGGCTCGATCCCAGGACCCCGGGATCAAGACCTGAGCTGAAGGCAGACGCTTAACGACTGAGCCACCCAGGTGCCCCTCCAAGTGACTTTTTAATATTTTGATTTCATATTCCTAATCTGATATAACCTGACAAGAAAATTATCAATAAATCTTAAGACTGTATTCAGTAGCTTTTTTTTTTTTTTTTTAAAGATTCCATCTATCTATTTGACAGACACAGTGAGAGAGGGAACACAAGCAGAGGGAGTAGGAGAGGGAGAAGCAGGCTTCCCACCGAGCAGGGAGCCTGATGTGGGGCTTGATCCCAGGACCCTGGGATCATGACCTGAGCCGAAGGCAGACGCCCAACGACTGAGCCACCCAGGCGCCCTTGTTTTTGTTTTTGATCCTAGCCATTCTAACAGGTGTGAGGTGAGATCTCACCATGGTTTTGATTTCCATTTCCTGCTAAGTAGTGATGTTGCGCACCTTTTCACGTCCCTGTGGGTCGTGTGCGGGTCTTTCTGGGGAAAATGTCTATTCAGATCCTCTGCCCATTTTTTAAGCTGTTTTTCTGCTGTTGGGTTGTGTGAATTCTTTATATATTTTGGGTATCAACCCCTTATCAGAGGATTTGCACATTTCCTCCCATTCCTTTTGTTGGGGGTGCCCTTTGCCGTGCAGCAGCTTTTCAGTTGGATGCAGTCCCTCTTGTTTATTTTTGTTTTTGTCGCCTTTGCTTTTGGTGTCAAATCTAAAAAATCATCACCAGGACCAACGTCAAGGAGCTTACTGCCGGTTTTCTTCTAGGAGTTTTCTGGTTTCAAGCCTCATATTCAGGTCTTTAATCCGTCGTTGTTATAATTTGTGTGTGTGATGTGAGCTGGGGGTCCGGCTTCATTCTTTTGCACGTGGCTTCAGTTTTCTCACCACCGTCAATTGAAGAAACTGTCCTTTCCCCATCGTATATTCTTGGCTCCTTTGTTGTCAGTTACTTGGGTATTTCTGGGCTCTGCGTCTGTTTTTCTGCCAGTACCATACAGTTGTGGTCACTTTGGCTTTATAACCTAGTTTGAAGTCAGGGAGCATGAGGCTTCCAGGTTTGTTCTTCCCTCTTAAAGATGGCTTTGACTACTTAGGGCCTTTTGTGGTTCCACATAAATTTTAGGATTATGTGGACTATTTCTTGAAAAATGCCATTGGAATTTTGATAGGGATTGCAGTGACTCCGGGTTGCTTTGGGTGGTTTGGACATTTTAACGGTATCGTTCTTCCAGTCCGTGAGCACGGAACATCTTTCCACTCATTTGTGTCTTCAGTTTCTCTCATCAGCGTCTTACTGTGGGCAGGTCTCCACCTCCTTGGCTAAATTTATTCCTTCATATTTTTGGGGGGCAACTGTTAAGTGGGAATGCTTTCTTATTTTTCTGATAGTTCATTATTAGTTTACAAAAAGAACAGATTTCTGCACACAGGCATACCTTGTTTCATTGTGCTTTGCAAGTACTGCTTTTTCTTTTCTTTTTTTCTTTAAATAAATTGAAGATTCGTGGCAACTCTGCCTTAAAAGCAAGTCTGTCGGGGCCCCATTTCTCCAACAGCATTTGCTCACTTTGTGTCTCTGTCTCATTTAATAGTTCTTGGCAATATTTCAAATTTTTTCATTATTTCATATTTTGTTATATTGATCTGGGACCCATGATTATGACTGATTAGCTGAAAGCTCTGATGGTGGTTGGCATTTTTTAGCAATAAAATATTTTTTAATTTAAGTATGTACATTGGCTTTTTAGACACGTTATTGCACACTTAATGGCCTTCAGTGTGGTGTAAACATACCTTACATGCACTGGGAAAGCAAACAATTCATTTTCCTCACGGTGTTGCAGTATTTGCTTTACCGCAGCAGTCTGGGACTGACCCTGCAAGACTCCCCAAGTTGTCCCTCTTGATTTGTGTCCTACAGCTTTACTGAATTTGTTTACTGATTAAGTTTGAAAAGCACATTTTTTCCTTTCTTACTCAACATACTTAACCCTGTATAATCTTTGCCCTGATTATAAAAGAAATTTGTGCTACAATTGAAAAGAAGGAAAAAAGGGGGAAAAAATAAATTTGTATCCAACATAGAAATTTTGGAAAATATAAAAAGGCTGAAAGATCAAAGATCTTCTACCCAGAATTCACCATTGTAACTATTTAAGTTTGGGAGCCCGATGTGGGGCTCTATCCTAGGACCCCAGGATCATGACCTGATCCAGAGGCAGATACTTAGCCACCCAGGTGCCCCTAAGTTCTTTTTATTTTAAAATATATACTTGTACATATGAAAAGACATGAGTGACTTTAAAAATACCTGAATTTATAAATTGTGAAACAACATAAAACATATTTTTGAGATTAAGCAGCAAACATCCATACAGCTTGGATGCATTTTGCTGTCTGAAAAAAGCCCTACACAAAAGACCTATTGTAAGATTCCATTTATGTGACCTTCTAGAAACGACAGAAGTACATGATGACAGAAAGCATACCAGTGGTTGTCTGGGGTTGAGGGTGGGATTGATTGCCAAGGGACACAGGGAGCTTTTTGGGGGTGATGGAAATGCTCTTTATCTTGATGGTGGTGGTAGTTAAAACAGTTATATGCATTTGTCAGAACTCACTGTACACTTACAGTGGGTGATTTTGCAGTGTATACCTCAGTAAGGCTGATTTAAAAATATACACACATCCGGGCACCTGGGTGGCTCAGTCGGTGAAACATCCGCCTTCAGCTCAGGTCAAGCCCCACATGGGGCTCCCTGCTCAGTGGGGAGTCTGCTTCTCCCTCTGCTCATGCTCTCTCAGAAAAAAAAGGTCTGTACCCAGGTTGAGAATCGAGCAGTCCGTGCCTTCGAAATTCCCCGAGCATCCTCTCCTTTCCTGTCCACAGAACGTCACCATCCTGATCTTTGTGAAAATTCTTCCTTTGCTTTAAGGTAGTTTTACCACCTATATGCAGGTCTCCGCATAATAGTTTGGATTTGTATGGTTTTGAAATTTATTTTTTTGAAATTTATAGAACTAGAATTGTACTTAATTTTATTCTGTGACTTCCCTTTTTTGTTCCCCATTGTTTGATGCCTGTAAGACGTGATTCTGTCCGTTCTGGTTCTGTCTCGTCGTACATCGATCACAAATGGTCTGTGTCACTGGTTGTTTGGACGCCCTCTGGTTGTAGATGGAGGTGGGAATTCCTAGCACGCGTGTGCACACGCTCCCCCTTCGCGTTACACGCCCGTGTTCCTGCGCCAGTTTACGCGTGCCCGTGGCGAGTTGGCCACGCCCCATATTCCCGACCGTCAATCTCAGACTTAAAACTTTTTTGCCAGTGTGATGGGTGTGCAGTGATGTTTCATTGCGGTTTGATTTGCGTGTCCGTGATTGCTAATGAAATTGGGGCTCTTTTCATGTATTTATTGGCTGTTGAGTTTCCACTTTTGTGATGTTCTTTTTGGCTAAAAAGCATGTTGGCTATTCTGAGCCCTTGATGCCTGCATGTCAATTTTAGAATCATTTTGCAAGTTCCATAAACAAAAAGCTTAGACTTTTTATTTCAGCTGCCTTTATTTTCTAGTTCAATTGAGAGGTAAGTGACGTATTACTGAATTTTCCCACCTTTGAACATGAAATCACTTTTCAGATATTTAGGGACTCTTGAATTATCTTTCAATTTTTTATGGTTTTCTCCATAGTCTTACACATCTTTTGCTGACGTATATCAATCTCATAGAAATTTGTCTTTTGATCGTGTATCCAACAGCCTTGTTAAATTTGATTAATTGTAATTCATCTGCAGATGCTTTTTTTTTTTTTTTTTTACTGTATAAACTAATTTCATGAATGACAGTTTTGTCTTTTTGCCTTTCGGGGCTGATAGGATCACCATTAAAATGTCCTGTGTCCCTTTGCCCTCGGTCCCTTCCACCCACCCCCCAGGTGCACAAGGATCTTTTTTGTCACTATAGTTTTGCCTTTTTCAGAATGTCATAAAAATGGAATCCTACAATATGCAGGATTGTGTTGCATTTTCTTTTACTCAGTAAGATGCATCCAGGTTATGTGAGTGCTTGCTTTAATCTTAAGTGTATGGTCTTCAGTGTTCTCGATTGAAAGTTTTAGGTTCTCAAATCTGTGAAGGCCTAGTCACGCGTGACTGCCTCTTCTCTGTTCTCCCACTTTCAGAGCCTCCCATCAGACATCGCGCCCCCTTGCTCTTGTTTCGCATCTCCAACCTCTCGTTCATACCTCTGTTATCTTTGCTTTTAGTGCTACGATCTGGATAGTTCTTCAGGTCTGTTTACTAGTACACTGATTCTCTCTTCAGTGCTTATGATGATCTGTTAAAACTATTGCCTTATAATGGAATTTTCATACAAAAATTAAAAATTCAAACCAAAGTAAAGAGAATAGTATAATAAGCCACCATTTCATCAGCTTCAATAGTTAACATGACTGACCAATCTTCATATACCCCACCGTACTGCCCACAGATCCCCGTGGCCGGAGTACCTTGAAGCAAATCTGAGACCTATCATTCATCTGTAAATACCCTAATATGTCTCCAAAGCATAGAGCACTTAAAATTTGATTCTAGTAATTGATCATGTTCTCCTAATTATCTCATAAATGGTTTACAGTTGATTTCTTTAAATTCCAAACAAGGTTGGATTAGATGTCCTGTGTCCCTTTGCCACTGGCCCCTTCCACCCCCTCCCCCCACACTCCCCAGCAGTGGGTTTGTCTTGGAACTGTATTTTTGTTTTTAAATCAAATTTAAAAGCATGTGTAAAAGGGATCCACACAGACACGGAAATTCTGTAACTCTCCTTTAATGTATAGATATTTCAGTTCCCTCTATTTCTGAAACCAGGTTAGTTCTGGAGAATCCACATTCTGGATTTCTCTTGCATATTCACCATGTCACTTAACATGTTCCTCTGTACTGTTGGCTGTATGTCCTAGAAAACACAGACTGATGGATCAGTTTCAGAATGATTGCTGAAGGCAGTTTGAGATTTTTTTTTGCAGTTTGTTTTGTTCTTATGTGATACTCCCACTAGGGATGTACAGCCAAATTTCTGTTCTTGTAGTCACTTGAAATAATTCTTCTGTTTGGTTAATAGCACTGTTTAGGTTCGTTTGTTTCATTTGGCATTTGATTTTAGGAATTGCTTTTGTTGTTTTAATTTTTACAATTATATAAACCAATGACATGGTTCCACAGACAACTCTATAAACAAGTTACATTCAGAAATGTCCCTTTCTGTCCTTGTTCCCTGAGGTAGCCATTAGTGTTTGACTTAGTTTTCCATTAGTCTCATTTATATATGAAAGCAAGGATGTGTATCTTTGCATCCCTTCTCCTGCATACCCTTCATGCCCTTGTGCATCTGCTTCTTTGACTTGACCACACATCCTGAGATCACCCCCCACCGCACACTGCAGCCGTGAAGGACTCGGTACTCTGCGGGCGGGCCGGGTTGTGAATTGAACTGTTCTCCACAGATGGGACATTTGGGGTTGGAGCCTCTGCTATGACAAGCAGTAAGAGCTGCAGTGAATAGCCTTTTGCGTCTTTTTACCATTTTGCCAGAGCGTCTTTGTTAGATTCCTCCAAGCAGGGGTCGCTGAGTCAAAGGATGCAAGCATAGGCTCGCTCAGTCTGCCATCTTAAAATCTGGTTGGTGGATGTTGTGGCTTTACTAGAATCTGGCAAATGAGTTGCTGTGATCAGAGTATCTCCATTTTACTTCTCTTTTCCTTTAAAGGGTAGAGAACAGTTTTATACTCTGAAAACTTACCTCACTGACCTGGCAAAGTGACTTGATTTCCCTTTGGAGTTCTTTGTGGGCAATATAATCCTGAAACTTCACTAATTTTTTTTTTTTTTTCCTGAAATTTCAGCAAATCCCTTTATGAATACTCTAAGAACTTCATCGTGTCACTTGTCCTAGGCAAGGATGTCATTCCCAGGTGAGTCAGCTGGATGCTTCATCTGGGCTTGCAGCAGCTGAAAGACCAAGTACTGAGCCGCCATCTGGTCTTTTGCTAATAAACAGGTTAAGTGTGACTAACCTGGAAGATCTGAAGAAGAGAATCTTGCGAGTGATTGCTCACTGTAACAAGCCCAAGGTAACTTGCGGGGCCCCGTAAGAGGATCTAAGGAGTTTGAGGCTGTGTGTGCCAAGGAGAGTTTGTTTCTCAATTCAGAGCCTCTTCGACCAGGGCATTTGATGCTGTTGCCGGAAGCGCTTTCTGACCCTCCAGACAGACTTCTGTCTGCTGTTCTACAGATGATGCCGAAGAAAGCAAACGGCTGAGTCAGTCATGAAATGCCACAGTTAGAAAATACTATAGTAGAACCATCCCTGTTCTAGTTAAGTGATTTGCTTTCGGTCATACTCTCTTAGCCCTGTCTTGTGACCAACAGTACTTTGATGCTTTTGGTCCCAAAGCTTGGATAATAAGGCTGCTGAACAGAGTTTAAGAAGTACTAGCGTATGTATACTGTGCAATATTATGGTCGTTAAAAATGGTGACGTAAGTTTTTGTTTACCACTAGAGAAAGAGAGTGATGTATTGAAAAGTTTTTTTTTAAAGGGCAGGTCTAAAAATGATTCTTCGAGGATCTATCCCCTAAGGCAGGATATATAAAGAGTTTTTAGAAGTGATTTTAACTAATTTTCTGACATTTTTTATTGTTACTCAAATTCTTTTAAAATAAGCTTCTCCTTACCCCCAACTACCCCCCCCCCGAGTTTTAAAAATTAATAAATGTCATGAAGGGAAAGAGTAAAGCTCGTCGGCAGGATTTGGTTTTTACGTATCGCTTCATGTTTGATATGGCTTCATGGCCCAAGAGATGCAGGAGTTTAGGCCACTGACCTCCACGGCCCTAAGATCCAGGATTTAGAAAGACCATTGGTCTGAGCTCTGAGGGTCACCGTCCTCTGGCACAAGCTTCTGGGGCCAGGGTCTGTGTTGACAGTGAAAGCGTCACAGAGTAACAAGCAGGCTGCCTTCTTGGGTCTCTTGGCCAGTACCAGATTTTGCTGTACGGGTGTTGGTACGAGCTGTTCGGAGGAAGTCCGGATAACTTTCCGACGGAGCTGGACGGGGGCGCCCAGGGAGACCTGACGCAGCCGCTTCTGGGGGAGCAGAGCCTGCTGATGCACGGGTCCCCGACCTACAGCTTCTCCAGCGACTCCCCCTTGGAGTCCCCCACCAAGTATCCCCCTCTCTACCCTCCCGGCAGGATCATCCACCTGGAGGAAGAAGGTGCTTCAGGGAGGTAAGTGCAGGCCACGTGGGCACGGAGCTGACGGGGCTCAGTCCACACAGATCGAAAACACACAGGTTTCAGCCTAAAGGGCCGCTCCGCTAGTTCACCTTCTGTCTTTCCCAGGTTTTGGCGTTCTGCTGCTCAGTACAGTGCCAGGTGGTCACACGAATCACAATTCAGCAAAATACTCATCGGTCCCAAGATGTTGACAGACCATATGCCCCACGTCCTGATGAAGGCCTTGGACAGCGTGGTGTCGGACAGGGCCGGCTACGTCTTCTGCCCAGCCCGAGGCGGCTCGAACGTGGACATGGTGTAACCGGGGCTCATGCAAAGTGCTCCAGGACGAAAGACCGACACTCCTGTTGTTAAACTGACAAAATCAGTGATTCCCATGATGCCAGTACCTTTGATGTCCATCGGTAGAAATTGGATGGTCTTCTAAAATCACTGAATAATTTGGGAAGTCCTTTTGATCCCAGTATTAGCAGGATCAGTTATCAGGAGAGAGCGTGGAGAGGATGGGGCTCACGTAGGAAGCTTCGGGAAGCTCCAGGGCCATTCCTTGGTGATCTGAGAACTGCCCCCAGGAAAGGATGGGAACCCAAGGCCAGGTTTAAGACCCTGATGGATCGATCCGTAGCTTCCCACCCCTGACGCCACCTTTTCACTGACGGGGTCTTACCACTGTTGAGAGGAGTCTGACCTGGGCTTACAGCTGTGCAATTTATTCTGCAAACTGGATTTTCCTGGCTGCACAGATGGGCTTTTTCTCCTGGGTGGCCCTGAGGTCGGGCTGCGAACTGGGACCCCTGCCCCTGAGCACTGAGTCTCCACATCAAGCTCACTGCTTCATTTGCACATAATAATCTGGCTTTTGGAGGTCAGCCAGTGGATTCAGGGGGAGTTAATAAAGCACTTACACGTGTCGTTCGTGTCTGGACAGTGATGTACTCGTCCACTGGATGTTTCCAGGAGGGTCTATTTTACTGGGTAGTTGTATAGCAATCCTGTTTTAAAAGTTTTCTATCTACTGTAAACAACAAAAATGCAGCCTTAAGCTTTCTTGGAGCTCTGGGCTAAAGGCTGGCAATCACACAGGCATCTGATTTAACCCCACTGAAGTGCCAGAAAAATGACAGTAAGTGGATCTCTTTAAAAGCATAAACCCACAAGGATGGGGAAAGAAGAAAAGGAACAATTGGTTGACTAGAGGTAAACAGAATCCTAAGTGGAGGAGGAAAGACCAGAACTACCCTGGTTTACAACTCCGAATCCCCCCTCCCCCACAGCAGAGCAGGGGATCAGTGAAAGTGAGGTGGCTTACTTGAAAGCTGGAGGAAGTCTGGCCCTTAGTTCGCTCTGCGGGGAGGGGGCCCTGGACAGCAGTGCAGCGGGAGGCAAGGAGATGGTGCTCCTCAGCTTCTCACACTTAGAGAAGATGCCAGACCTCTAAGATTCTCCAGGGCAACCTGACCTCTAAAAACCCCTCCTCGGGGCCTCTCGGCCGTCACACCAATACCACCTTAGCCTCTTGAGTACCTGCAAAAGCCCATTTAAAAAACTCTGACTGAAATGCCATGGTGTCCAACTGCCACAAGTTTTGTTTCTAAACAATTCCTGTACGTTCCTAGTGGCAGAAAGCTAAGCAATCTCGGACACCCCTTGACTCCACCATGGTGCCCAGTTTCCAATCTCGCCCCCGCCTCCCATTTTTAAGATTAATGTATTTTAGAGAGCAAGCATAAGGAGGAGGGGCGGAGGGAGAAAGAGAATCCCAAGCAGACCATGCTGAGCAGGGAACCCGACGCAAGGGCTCAACCCCAGGACCCTGAGATCACGACCTGAGCCAAAATCAGGAGTCAGACACAACCACCTGCACCCCCCAGGCGGCCGGCTCTCAACCTTAAGCATGAGCCAACGACTATTGGGCACACGCAGAACAAGGGACTGGGAGAAACTGCCTGGCTACCGCTTGGGAACAGAGAAAGTGTTGTAACCATAAAACAGATCCTGAGCCTGAAAAGTGGAGAATAAAGAAGAATGCCTGAAAATTAAAAGCATGACAGGTGGACCTCCAGAGCAGCTGGGCGGCAGATAGCTGCATGGTGGCAGACGGAGCCCACCCAAGCACAAAGGAGAAAAGCAGCCCAGGATGTGCAAGACGGAAAAAAAAGCCCACAGAACTTATCAACAAAAGTTCACCCCACATAACAGCAACGGCCAAGGAAGATCCAAATGAGTTGCCTTCCAAACTGAGGGGAATGCATTTCCAACCAGACAGAAAGGACCAGGGAAGAACAAAGTTATTTTCAAAGACACAAGGGCTGAGAAAGATTCCCACACACTTCTCAGGAAACTCTTGGAGGAGTTGCTGAAGATGAAGAAGCAAATTAAAAAGGAGTCGGGCACCTGGCTGGCTCAGTCAGTCGAGTATTCGACTCCTGATCTCAGGGTCATGAGTTCGAGCCCCACGTTGGCCGTGGGGATTATAGTAAAGATCAGCACATCGGGAAATGGTGGCCAGAGCATTCTGAGACTCTAGGAAAATAAAAATCGGTGAAACACATAATACAATCATCTTGAGAGATTTACACTGCAGATGGAAGTTCACTTAAATCATTAAGCACACAGGAAATGAAGCAAAAAAGTATAAATTATCCCTAAAGAAACCAGAAGTTTGTGCAGCCAAATTGTTATCCCACGGCTTGGCTAGGAATATTCACACAGTAACAGATACTAAATAGTGACCACCAACCCAAATCATTCTCTTGTGTCGGGGGGGGGGGGGGGGGGGTGCTGCCATGCACAGACTATCTGTGGTAACAGCCAAAACTGAAAATGCAACCAGCAATAAAGTGACTTAGCCTGACCCCCAGGGAGGGGAGAGGGGCTGGAGATTGAATCAAACAAACCGCCTGTCATTTAATAAGCATGGCTATGTAACAAAGCCTGCAGAAAAAAAGGGGGGGGGGTGCAGCTTGCAGGTGGGTGAGCATGTGGAGATTTGGGGAGGGGGCTCCTGGAGAGGGCGTGGAGGCTCTGTGTCCCTCCCCCATACCTGACCCTAGGCATCTCTTCCATCTGGCTGTTCGAATTCTATCCTTTCATAACAAACTGGTGATCTAGTAGGTAAAAAAAAAAAAAAAAAAGACATGTCACTTAGGCATATGGAGGTAAATAACAAAGATTAGTTAAAAGAACTCAAATTGATTGCCTTTGGGGAAGGTGTGAAGGGAGAAGGCTGATGTTTTTGTAGCAAACCTTTGGAACTACGAGGTCTTTAAACTGCGTATTTATCTTTAAAAAATGCTCAAAACTAAAGCAATCTTCAGAGCAATAAAAAGGATAATATAAAAATTTTGTTTTTTAAAGATTTTATTTATTTGAGAGAGAGAGAGAGAGAGAGAGAGAGAGAGAAAGCAGCAGCATGAGAGGGGATAGGGTCAGAGGGAGAAGCAGACTCCCCGCTGAGCAGGGAGCCCGATGCGGGACTCGATCCAGGGACTCCAGGATCATGACCTGAGCCGAAGGCAGTCGCTTAACCAACTGAGCCACCCAGGCACCCTAGAAAATTGATTCTAACATGACAAGTTCATAGTACAGTTTCAGGCTCTAGAAAGGATCTTAAGGTCATACTCAGCCTCCTCCCTACCTCCCAAAATCTGCCTCTTCAGCCCAGAGCTCGGGCCCAAGGTGTGCGCGCACATGTGCCCCAGCGTGGATGTCACCATCTCCCCAGCATTCAACAGATGCAAAACCCAACCTGCCCCCCAGCACCAGTGCTTGCGGACTCCTCCAGCCCCCCACCAGCATGAAAAACCTACACTAGAAATTGTTTCCAACAACCCAAGATTTTCAGGTGAGACAATGGAACACATACCCCAGGAGGCTGTTCTCAAGAATTCAAGTGTTACAGTCATGATTCAAGGATTTATTAAGTCATACATGCAAAACATACTGCTAACTGCATTAGCAAAAGATCAATGTAAAAACACTCCACGATCCTGCAACTGTCAATTTAAAAAATGTTGTTCTAGTGGTTGAGAGGTCCAACCTTATATTCTTGCCAGTGGGTAAGTTGTACAGAACTTCGTTAGCACAAGCACGGGCTTACAGAACCTCACAGACCCAAGGGAACATGGTCAGGCAGAGCGAGAGGAAGCGTGTGTCCAGGGCGGTGAGGCAGAGAGGAAGGGCCAGCATTAGTCAGGGTACAGTACTGGTGATCTGGCAAGACAGTGATGTTAAGAAAGTTCATAGTTTAGGAATATCTAAAATATTTCAAAAACCGTAAAGCTGCAACACATGATTTTTACACCTAGTTACTAGAAAACTAAGGAAAGCGCTTATTAGCTTGAATAAAGTAACAAGGAAACAGGAATGCACTTTTACTAATCTAAAAAAAAAAAATTTCTAATGCATTATCAGAAAGATTTTATAATACAAGGAGGCATATTGCTCATTAAGAAGGGGTTCTATAAGAAAAGCACTAAGTTAGCAACTATGGGAACGACCAGTTCAAAGATGAATTAAATGCCCAATTTCAGGAGGGATGGCAGGTCTCAGAAAAAGGAAAAGCTTAAACAGTGATAATACCGACCTTTCTTCATCATTTACTGCACTGGACAGAAATAAACCTTTAATATTTTACCCGTGACACTTTTACTCAGTTTAATTAGGACGTGTACAATGTAGTGTAAATTAACCTCTGTATTTTGTCAAAATACTGTCTTCATTCTTTGATCGCGTCACGTGCTGCACACCCCCCGGCCCGGGTGCCCACAGCTGGAGCGGACACTTCGCCGGGGGGACATGGGAGGAAGAGGTCTGTTCAGAATCTCAGCAAAAGCGAATACATTAACTTTTCAAAAAAAATCTCACTACAAAATCAAAAAGATTGATTCGAAGAGTTGAGTCATTACACTCACTCTGCGAGGACGTACAGTACAGTGTTAGGGGAGGGCGCGGTGTCAGATGGCCTCCTGGTGGCAGCTGGGGAAGGACGCTGTGCCGCTTTCCTACCAGAAAGGAGCGTGGCAGCGTCTGCGGGGGCAGACCTGAGACGCTGGTTCTTCTGAAAGACACAGCTCTCGAACGGTTTAGTGCTTAGTGTTCTCAGCACAACGCAACTTAGTTCACAAGGTATTTTGGCAACTCTTAATCTGAGCAAGAATAGGGGCTTTTGAAAAATAAGGCTTTAAGAAAGCTTGCCATTTTAGGGCTAAATTTTAATATAATGTGAAAGTTTGAAATCTTACACTTAAAACCTAAAAATTACTGATTGGTTCAAAATGGTTTTATGGAAAAACTAATCTGTAACAAAAACTTGGCATTGAGTGCGAAGGCTCCACACCATTTTTGAGCAAAGCGTACAAAGGTTCCGAGGGGGACGGGGCGGGCCCGGACATTTACAACAGCAGGCATTTTCTCTTCCTCTTCTTGACGGGAGGGGGGCAGAGAACCGCTCGAATCGCTTCATCAAACACTGTCTTGAGGCCTCGCTGCGTGAGTGCCGAGCACTCCAGGTATTTTACGGCACCTGCCGAGAAACACAGCCTCATACAGCCACCCGGCCACGTACACCCACGCGCAGAGCCACCCTTCCAACCACCACGAGGGTGGGAAGCAGCTCCCCAGGCCCTGCCTCCTGCTGACCCACTGGGTGCAGGCGAACAACCCCTGACCTGTGCCTGGCTCCTGAAGGCTCACACCGAGGGCCTTGCCTCGCTGGCTCCCCAGAGGTCAACAGGAGCCTGAGTCAGAAAGACTCACTTTCTACCTGCCCAGACTGGACTCCCGTCTCTGCCACAGAAATAAAACCACGTGCAAAGCAGATGTGAAAATGCAGATTTCCTACCGATCTCCTTAGCCATGGCCAGACCCTGCGGGTAGGTGATGGGTGTCAGCTTCTTTTCCTTCAGCTTCTCGATCGTGTCTTTGTCGTCCCTGAGATCAAGTTTAGTCCCCACCAAGATGATGGGGGTGTTGGGACAGTGGTGTCGCACTTCGGGGTACCACTAGATTCAAGAAAGGAAAAAAGTCACGACACACTCCCTCCCTGATGAACATCCTTCGCCTAAATTCCATTTCCACGGGCGCCAAACTGTGTCAGCCACCCCACCTTAGTCCCTCAGCAGGACACGGCAACCCGCCCTCCAGCCCTGCTCACCCCCCCCTTGCAATACCTTCCAGTACCACAGGCCTACCTGTGCACATTCAATTAGCAAGCTGGGACTCCCAAGACTAAGGAGCCTACTCATCAACAAGAGCAAGGGGAGAAGGGAAGGTCCCCCTCCCCAAACAATTACCTTTTGGTAAAATGAGTCAAGTTCTTAGATTATCTCCGAGAATCCTTCCTAAATCCAGTGAAGAGAGTGAACTCCATCTGGACTGAGGTCTCAGCTCTGCCACCATGACCCCCACCGAACACATCCCTGATGACCACAACTTAAGGACATCCTGCCCGTGTCATGTTTCACTAGGAAGCATGTGAGATGCAGGGGTGCAGAGTCATGGTCGCCATTTTTATTAGACGACCCCATCAGACTGACTCCAAAGTGCTTGTTGTTTTAATAAGGAGCACAGCATTTCTGAATCAGACCCTGAAACTTTAGAACTCTACATAATAAAGTCCTATACTTCAAAAATTGATTTGCTACCTAAATAGAAGAGCAATTTAAATAATTAAAACTCCTATCACTAAATGGTATTTTTGCCTCCCGAGAACGACATTATGTAACAAAATGTTTCTCTAAAACATCCCCACTTACCTTTGCTCGAACATTTTCAAATGATGCAGGACTCACAAGAGAAAAGCAAATTAAGAATACATCCTATAAAAAGGAAACAGGGAGGCGTTTAGAAATGGTCTTACAATGACAAATGCACTTTGCTCTGTAAATGCTGTTGGGAATGAATCATGAGACAAAATGCACGTTATGTACCAGCAGCTTGTGTCTAAAGCTTACTCCCTCGTTAGCCCTTCAGTTCTGTCAGAAGGCTCCCAAAGCAGAGCCAGCACATGAAGCAGCCAATTACTTGGGAGAAGAAGGGAGAAGACTTACTGGAATGTGCCAGAATCTACTGGAGGCCAGGGAGGCCTCAAATCAGACCCCCCAAGAGGCTTCTTTTCCACCATTCCCAACTCCCACTAGGAACTTAATGGCCCTATTTACATACAGGGATAAAATCAAGTGTCAAGATACCACTGCGGTATTTCTGTAAAATGTGGTCTCAGTTTATCAAAAGCAGAGTCTATTTTAAAACCATTTACCAATGGCGTGCTTTTCAGTAAGCTCCCCGTGTGCACGTTCGATACACGTTTAGTTGACCACTGGGTTGCAATTAAACTGCTTCTTTAAGAACTGCCACGAGAGTCCCTGGCCCAAAGTGGGGCTCAGCTGTTTGCTACGTGAGCACATTCTACCGTGAAGGCGGACGGTCTAGCGTGTGAGGGGCATCCTCCGGGCTATCAGCTTCTCAAACCCAAGCGGGGTCTCTGGAGGACTTAGAGCACAGGGCAGTAGCAGCTGAAGTAGAGGTTCAAAGGAAAAGTCGGTGTAGAGTAAACACCTGGAAGAATTTCTGACTGAATCCAGTGTGTCCCACTCTGTACTGGGTAAAAAGCTGAATTTAAAGATTTACCTATATTTTAAAATGCCTAGGAGTTTCTAAAATGCTAAGTTTTTAAGACATTTTCCTGGAAAAAGGCAACTATGCTACTTTGTGAAATGTACCCAATTCCCAAGCTAACACTTTCAATCATCCAGCTGATATCTTGTACCTGGAAAGGGAGAGAAACATCCCACACAACAGCTTTTTATAAATGACATTTTAAAAACGCTAGTGCATGCACAGGCTTGTCCAAGAATCACCGTGGCATTTGGGCACCTGATTACGTCATTTCAAAGCAAGGCTGAGTTAGCTCCCCAGCACCACATAGCCATGCCCCAGACAGGCCCACTGCACCGGGACACCAAAGCGGGGGGAAGGCCTGGCAGCCACGGTTAGTCCCACTCCGGCTCAAGCACACGCTCCGAGGTGGAGCCTCCACGCCTCCATCTCCAACCCACCCAGAAAGGCCCCTTCACAGGAGTTCCTCCTTTCCCTCAGGAGGAGGGGAGCAAGCAGTTCACAAACCGCTTTAATTCAAGCTAATAGGTAAACTGCCTCGCTCTACTGAAAGCACATTTGGTCAAGCAAAACCCAGCCTTGAGTGAATTAAATACAGAACACTCAAGGAACGTGAGGCTCAATAGGAAATCCTGGGGAAACTAAGTGAAATGAGAGAACAGATAAAGCTTGAAACTGAGGTCGACTGAAAGTTTTACATACGGCAATCGGCTTGTCTTTGCCCCTGGAGGTTATATCCTTACCATACGTTTCTGCAACCTAGTAATGCATGAGAACTTTGTTTCAGTTTAGTAAAAACTGAGGAAGGTAAAAGTCAATATAATCCATTATTTCTTCATCAGAATTCTGTCTCAACCCTCCCAAAGGATCTGACAGCAGATGATTATCTAACAACTATGCCAAATACCACCAAACACTCCATCAAACCCTGTGAAGGTCAACGATGGTGAAGACACGAGGTCAGGCAAATACCGGGGGGAGGAGTAGGACGGAAGCGCCCTTGTCCACCCGTGACAGCCCGCAGAGTGCTCCTTGTCCAGCAGAAGCTACGACACGCCTGAGGAAGCACACAGGCCACGGCCAGTCAGGACTGTTAAGGAAGTGTCCTTAATGAAGGTGCGTCCCTAGGCGTCGCTGGCACCCGCTAGCAACAGGCACACCTGTCAAAGACCTCCATCAAAAAGCTCTGAGACATGAGCCCAGCTGAAGCCGCCGCAAATGGGAAAGCATCTGTCTGTAAAAACAGGCCTCTGAGAGGAAAGGCTCCCCAGGAGCACGGCCAGGTCGGAGAGCCCTGAACGCCGCAAGTCTCCCGTACAGACGTGCTGGTCCTCTCTTCCCCCAAATGCTGGGAGTGCGGTTTGAGTTTAGGGACCTGCATTACTGGAGTGAACAGCACTGACGCACTGAGACCTTTCATTCCCCAACCCCCCCAGCTTTGGACAGGACTGCCCAGAAGGGACAGCATTTCCAGTGTTTACCACAGTGCTTTCAATTCATTCCTTTGTTCCAACAAAAATCGAAAGACTTGCTCTTCAAGCAACATAAAAACCTACAATTCTTTTAAGAGACAATTGGACAAGAGAATTATTTTAATTTCACCTCACTCAGCTTCTGGGATCTACAGTTATGAGAATATTAAAATTGCTGTAACTATCCGGGTTTAATCTACGAGCTACTTTTGAAGATTTGTGCCCCCGACACCTTGACGTGATGCCAAATCTTTGTGACACATGGACTCATGGGCATCGGCCACAAAAATGCAGCCTCAGTTCAAAATACCCTCCAACCACATCTGTTCTACCCCTTTCATTTTTTAAGAACATCTTTTTTGATGAAGAAACACGCTTTGTACTACATTAACATGCCATCTGCCTGTTCCTTTCTCCTTTCTTCCCCCAGACAAAATACGGCTTTAAAAAATACTTCTCGGGGTGCCTGGGTGGCTCAGTCAGTTAAGCATCCAACTTTTGATTTTGGCTCAGGTAGTGATCTCAGGGTCGCGGGATCGAGCCCCATGTCAGGCCCCGCACTGCCTGCTTAGGATTCTCTCTCCCCCTCTGCCCCTCCCCATCCTCTAAAACAAAAACAGAAACTAGCACTTCTAAAAAATTAAAATTAAAAAATAAATAAAATGCCTTGTATTTCTGATACTTACCTCTTCTAGTAGTAATTTCTTCCAACCTTTGCCTTCTAACCCAACACCCCGAAGAGTCTGTGCTGCTCAGTATTTACGCGGCATCTCCAGGTTTACGCCCGTCCTGGTAAACCCCCGAGCTCTGCAGCAGGGCCACCAGGGGCCAGGCATGGCCTGGCCTGCTCAGCCTTCCTCCCAGGGTCACCGTGTGTCCCGGAGCCTCTTTATTCCACCTGAGCTGTCCTGGGTCACAGGCTCACCTTTCCTCTGGCTGGGACACCGCCTTCCCCAAGCTGGCAGGACATTTCTAACCACACAGGCTCCCACTGTGCCTTCAGTGACTTTATTACCTGTGTATCACAAAGCAGCTCCCCCTCACCGGTCAAAACCACTGCCTCCCCTGAATGTGTGGAGGGCACCATCAAGAGACAAGTCGGCTCCTAGCAGAATGGCAGCGGGCACTTGGGGTCTCCCAGCTCTGAATGCACCATCCAGCGCTGCTCTCTCCTCTCCTCTTCCGAAGACCTTCCACCTGATTTTACTTCAGGCTTGGAACATTTTTCACTACAGGCATTCTCCAAACCAGGAAAAGGAACAGGATACATACAAACAGGGCAAAGACACTGTGCCTGTGGCATCCACGGGGAGCTGCTAAGAAAACAAGCTCTGGAGAGAGAGGTGCAGCCTGACCCCTGGGAGGCAGCCTGTGACCAGGCTGGAATGAGACCAACGGTAAAGCAATAAATAGAAGACCACTTCACAATCTTGTCTGACCACAGAGAAAGGTCGCCGTGCAAACTGTAAAAACACCAAACATCCCCCTCTCCCAGCCAACGAGACTGTGTGCCTATGTCTGCACCAGTCACAGCTCTGGCCACACTTCATCCCCACCTTCTACAGGATATGGATTAAAACTACCCTGCTTCCCGCCAGCACCCCATCCACAGCAAGCCCTGCCTTCTCGAGCCCTCACCTGAATCGCACACCCCAGAGCCCTGAAGGTGTGTGCCTTGCTGGGGACAGAGGGACAAACCCAATTTGGTTTAGCCACAGGTGTGTTCCTAGTGACCTTTGGCCAGAGGACACAGATCCTGTAAAAGCCAACTTAATAAAGTAGAAAGCCATTTGAAAATCAAAGCAGCCAAGCTAAACGCTACTGTTTTTCCTTTTAACCAATGTCGAGCAGTCTAGCCCTTTCTCCAGATGAGCTCACACAGAAGGCGCCCGGCTGCCCAGGACAGGAGAGGCCCAGTTTATCAGCGGACAGGTGGGGCACTGAGAGCTTCTGAGAACCCACACAGAGCTCAGGCCTTGTGACTCTGGCAAGTCACCTAGGTTCCCACTCACACCACTAAATCCTGGAACAAGAAGACAAATACGGTGGGCCTGACACAATGCTGGGCCTGAGCACTGCTCAGACCACACCGTGATGGGGAGGGAGCAGGCCACCGAAGGTGAGTGAGCAGAACTCAGGGTATTTTTAAAAAAGAGAGTATTAAAAAAAAAAAAAAAAAAGAGTATAAAGGTAACTTATTCAAGGATGGAAGAGGCTGAAGGACTACTTAATTGAAAAAAAAACAAAAATGTAAGGACAGTTTCTACTAAAAAGTACCACCTGCTTGTTATCTTTTGGAGAAGTAGTAGAAACAAATGCCTTACACAGATTTAACTTCGCTCCCCAGAGCCACCCCACAAACAAGGACAGCAGCGTTAAATGACCACAGGAAACAAAACGTCTGGTTTTTGGGTCACAAAGCCGTAAGTAGTGGTCAGATCTGGGTAAGAAATAGCCCATGGGCCCTTCGGGAGAGGGTCTGAGCCCAGTCATGGATGAACCACATAACTAGGCCTGTAGACCAAAGAGTCAACAACCAGAAACCATGTTCCAGTTAGTGCAAAGTTTAAAGGCGTCCCCTCTGCCAAGGTGCCAGCCCGGAACCACCAGGCCTGCTCCTCTGGGTAGGATGGCATTTGGGGCCTGCCCCCCAGGAGCCAAGAAAACTTCCTCATCCCCAAAGGAGTCCAGCAGGCACGTCTTTAACTGCCAGATGGCTGCTCTCCCCTCTTTGCTCTAAGCACCATGACACCCTCCTGTGCCGGTGTGTGGTTTGTTACACACGACATGTGGGAGCCACCTGAGCAAGAATCCTGCCTTACCCCCTTTTAGACGTCCAAGTATTTGACAGGAAAATAGCACCTTACACAGATGGGACATAAATAGTTTAAGTCCTGCCCCAGAAGGATAACACCCCACCCAACACCCCACCCGCCTGGCTGTCAGGCCTCATACCCTGTGGCTTGCTTCAATCTGTGACTTTATCTATGCGTTCTCTAGTGTGTTCTCTAACATACAGAGTGGGAATCTTGCCAAGTCACCTTTGACTTACTGTGAGTGACTCCCTCAGAGAAAAAGGCCACACCCTGCCTGGACCCCTTGAGTCACAGGAGGTGGTTCTCATTTCTCAGAAGTGATACCCCGCCCTTCTAGATGTATCCAGTGGGTTGGAGACTCCTACTCTACCAGTCATAGGTTAGCAAATCCACTTAAAATCTGGAATTATCAAGCACCCACTGGGGTTAGAATAATTTCCTAAACATACTGAAGACCTCAAACCATTTGGTGATTCCGAGCTGATTTTTAAAACTTAATCACAGTTAATTTTTAGCTGGAGAGATTAACTGAGACATCACTCATTCAGACCGCCCATTTTATAGTCTTGGTCTTTGTTTAGCACTATTACTATAATTCAGCTAAAGGACAATCAGCAAAACTCCACAGCTCAAAGAGATTGTACTTGGCAATTCCTCCAGCAGGAAATAAATAACAAAAGACAATGACTATTGCATAGAAAAGCTGTAGTCAAAAACAAAAAAAAAGGGAGGGCACCTGGGTGGCTGAGTCCAGAGTGTCCTGAGCGTCAGACTCTTGATTTTGGCTCAGGCTGTGATCTCAGGGTCATGAGATTGAGCCCCAAATAGGACTCTGCACTCAGTGGGGAGTCGGCTTGAAGATTCTCTCCCTATGCCCCTTTCCCCCATTTGTGCACGCGCAAACTAAGTTTAGGGGCACCTGGATGGCTTGGTCGGTTAAGCATCTGACTTTTGGTTTCAGCTCAGGTCATGATCTCAGGGTCATGAGATGGAGCCCCACATCGGGCTCTGCACTGAGCGCAGAGTCTGCTTGGGATTCTTTCTCTCCCTCTGCCCTCCCCCACTCTCGCCCTCTTTCTTTCTCTCTCAAATGAATAAATCTAAAAAATAAAAAATAATTCTAAAACTATCATTTACTAAATAAGAAGTTAAGTTTAAAAACAAAAAACAAGAGGCGCCTGGGTGGCTCAGTCGTTAAGCGTCTGCCTTCGGCTCAGGTCATGATCCCAGGGTCCTGGGATGGAGCCCTGCATTGGGCTCCCTGCTCAGCAGGAGGCCTGCTTCTCCCTCTCCCGCTCCCCCTCCCCCTGCTTGTATTCCCTCTCTCGCTGTCTCTGTCAAATAAATAAATGAAATCTTTAAAAAAAATAATAATAAAAAAACCCAAGATTTAGATAGACTGGAAATGATTGGTTATTTTCACCCACACTACGCCCCCCCCACACTACCCCCCACCCCGACCGTAATGTCAAATCCATCCAAGGGTCAACACCTGCCTTCTCCAGGATGTCTCCTTGACCCTGACTCTCTGGTCATCCCGGCTTGCTGAGAGCATGTACAGCAACTTCCATTCATTTGGGCCCAGTCAGCTCTGACTTGAAGAGCTCTCCAGATCTGTGAATCTTCACAGCAGCTACACTGGAGTGTCTGTGATGTGCCTGGACTGTTCTGTGTGCTTTATACAGATTGCTCATCTAATCCTATGAGGAAACAGGTCATGACTAGAACCGTGAAGAAACCTGTCAGGGTCACAGAGCTAGGAAGAGCGAGCACAGGATTTCAACCCGAGGAGTTTGCGCCACTGCCCCTGGTGTGTATTCCTTTGACCAGTGAGTCACCTGAGTCTCTTTAAAAGTCTTTAAAATACTTTTAAAATGATGAACAAACATGTAACAAGATAAGCAAATGGTACAAATAAGACAATTACTTATTTCAAGAAAAGGGCTTCTCAGCATATTTTCACCAGCTATTGATCTGATTCGCTTTGTATATACATCATTTAATTGTCTAAAATGGAAGCAAAACTAATCTAGAAGTTTTTCTGACTGGACACAGTGGACATATTTTTACAAAACTGAAACCTGAATCTACACTGAGATTTAGGTACTAAAGCCATAAAAGATGAGCATGTTTTATAGAAAAATAATACTAAACCCAAAAACAAGTCATTAACTTGATTTTTAAGAACCTTAATCTTAACTGTTTAATTTGACTCTATGGTACCAAAACTGTTACAAAGCAAACTGACCTTGAAACTAATTACTGCTGAAACTGGTTTGCAAGAATAAAACAGTACCTATTTCATATGGCTGTCCTGAAACGAAACATGTAAAATGCATAGCACCACAATCAGTAACTGGTAATGCTACCAAAAAAAAAAAGGAAACAAATCCTTGGTCCGCATTTACGAGGACATTCACTATTGAACTTAACCTTGCTACTACTTATGCCCTTGAACAATGCAGGAGGGTAGGGCCACTGCCCCCCGCCGCCCAATGCAGTCCAAACTCCATGTATTACTCTGATTCCCTGAAAACTTTTAATAAACAGCTTGTTGTTGACTGGAAGCCTTACCGATGACATGACCAGTCCATTAATATATATTCTGTATGTTATGTGTAAAATACACTGCATTCTTATACTAAAGTAAGCCAGAAAAAATGTTACTAAGAAAATTTTGAAGAGGAAATATACTTACAGTACTGTAATGTATTTATGGAAAAAAGTCCTGGTCTAAGTGGACCTCTGCAGATCAAACCTGTGTGTTCAAGTGCCAACTGTGTAATAAGCAAACCCATAAGCGATACCCAATTACACAGTCAAAATAATATATTCCGAAGGACACGTTAAAAATCAGTCATGATCCTTACTGTTTGCGGATAGGATAAGGGACGTAATCGGTCATAATCTTCTTGTCCAGCTGTATCCCATAAGCCCAGATTCACCGGTTTTCCATCTACCATAACATTGGCAGAGTAGTTGTCAAAGCTGTAGAGTGGAGAAAACACAGTCAGTCCGCAGCTCCAGAACATTAAGCACAGACTGGGGGCTTGAGTTACTGTTGTGGCGAGGGTCCCAGAGGTGTGCCAAGGCTAGGAGTAGCCTGGAGGCTTCCAGGGCAGCAGATGCACCAGCACGCAGGCATGAGGAGCCTGAGTAGCTAAGAAGTGGAGGGAAAACCGGCTGCAGTGTAAGGAGAAAAACATGCACCTGAAGAAACATGCCTGAGAAACAAAGGACAAGCTATTCCATTTAACTGAAACAAATTACTGTCAGCAATAGAAAACCTTCGCTTTTTTTTTTTTTTTTTTTTTTTAAGATTTTATTTAGGGCGCCTGGGTGGCTCAGTTGGTTAAGCGACTGCCTTCGGCTCAGGTCATGATCCTGGAGTCCCGGGATCGAGTCCCGCATCGGGCTCCCTGCTCGGCGGGGAGTCTGCTTCTCCCTCTGACCCTCACCCTCTCATGCTCTCTCTCTCTCTCTCATTCTCTCAAATAAATAAATAAAATCTTAAAAAAAAAAAAAAAAGAATAAAGATTTTATTTATTTATTTGAGAGAGAGAATGAGATAGCATGAGAGGGGGGAGGGTCGGAGAGAGAGGCAGACTCCCCGCCGAGCAGGGAGCCCGATGCGGGACTCGATCCCGGGACTCCAGGATCATGACCTGAGCCGAAGGCAGTCGCTTAACCAACTGAGCCACCCAGGCGCCCGAAAACCTTCGCTTTTAATAAAGAGAACATTAAGCTTTTTCTCCCATGGGGCACCTGAGTGGCTCAGTTTGGGCTTATTTAAATTTAAACTGGGGGGTGCCTGGGCGGCTCAGTCGTTAAGCGTCTGTCTTCAGCTCAGGTCATGATCCCAGGGTTCTGGGATCGAGCCCTGCATGGGGCTCCCTGCTCGGCGGGAAGCCTGCTTCTCCCTCTCCCACTCCCCCTGCTTGTGTTCCCTCTCTCGCTGTCTCTCTCTGTCAAATGAATAAATCTTTCAAATAAATAAACAAATAAATTTAAACTGGTTAAGTGTCTGCCTTTGGCTCAGGTCACGATCGCCAGGTCCTGGGATGGAGCCCTGCATCAGGCTCCCTGCTCAGTGGGGAGTCTGCTTCTCTCTCGGCCCCTTCCCCTGCTTATGCTCTCTGTCCAATAAAAATAAATACATAATTAATCAATTTAAAAAAGAAAGAAAATAATTTTTCTCCCCAGGAAGAAATGAAGTATAAAATTAGTCCCTCTTTCAAACCTCACTGTTGACTTTTTTGTGTACATATCAGACTCATCTTCAACAAGGTGGCATACCACAGAGCCACACCGAAGTGTTCCAGAACACCCGCACTGAGTATAGGGTGAAATTAATCAAGCCCTGGTCATCCAGGCCTGCAACCAAAGGGACATGGTAACACAAAGCAAACCTGATTTGAAAAGCTATAGTGTAACGTTTCCAGAGTGAGTGTACCAAATTACACACATAAATTAACATGAAGTTGCTACACAAAAAGTAGTTACTGATAAAAAGAGACAGTCCAGAAAAGCCTGTCTGACGGGCAGAAAATAAGGTGGACATTAAAAAAAGGCGGGGGTGCTGGCTGCTCAGTTGGTTAAGTGTCTGCCTTGGGCTCATGTCATGATCCCAGGGTCCTGGGACTGAGCCCAGAGTTGGACTTTCTGATCAGCGGGGAATCTGCTTCTCCCTCTGCCCCTACCCCTGACTCATGCACTCGGTCATGCTCTCTCAAATAAATAAAATTAAAAAAAAAAAAAAATCATTAAAGTACCACCAAGTACTTCATTAAAACGAAAATCTGGCATTGCAATTCAAACCTGGGCAAGTACCAAACAGGACACAATACATCGGCCTGTAAGATAAAATTCAGAATTCATTTTCACATGCTCTCAACACTAAAACTTAGGGTCTTGCTACATTGCAACAGCAAAATGAAGGTCTGAGTAAGCCTGCAATGTAGCTTACAGAACGGAATGACAACCAGATTTCATAAAGAAAAAGCCTCATGTATTGCAAATCTGCTTCCATGAGAAAAGGAAAAATTATTCAGTAAACAGTATCATGTTTTTCCATCTTGGAAAAAAGAATCAGATGCCTGCCTCCTACTATACCAAAAAAAAAAAAAAAAAAAAAATTCTAAACAAATTTAAACTTTAGCCACAAAAAATCTAGAAAACCTACTAGAGGATATTTTTGTATCACTGAAGTAGGAATGGTCTTCCTAAGTAAGACATAAAACTCCATGAAGGTGGAGTGGTATATTTACATAAAAATGCCAAACTTCTTTATGGCAAAAGACCCCATATAACAGAGTTCACAGACAAATGAGACAAAGGGGTTAATACTCCTTATGTACAAAAGTCCCACCAGTAAGAAAAAATTTCAGTAGAAAAACAAGCAAAGGATTTCCACAGGCCATTCACAGAAGACTGCAAATGGACAGTGAACATTCATGGAACCTTAACCTCACTGGTGATCAGAAATGCAAATGAGAAGGTAACTTTTTTCAACGCCTGCTGCCCACGGTCCAAGTTGAGGGGGCCACTTCAGTCCCAGCTGGTCCAAGTGACAGCCTTTTTGGCAGCAATTGGGTAGTATCTATCAAAAATTTAAATATCCATTCCCTGTTGACTCAGCACACTTCCACTTCTAAAAATCAATCACATGTGCACAAAGACATGTGCAATGATGTTTCTAACACATGGAAAAAAAAAAAAAAAGACCTAACGACCAGTGGTGTTATCAGGTATTGTAGTTCAAAGTCACTGACAACTGACAACAATTTAGCTCTACCTATGTGTAGATTAGGAAAGTCCCCACCATAAAACCAGAACACGGACAGTATGATCCCACTTCTACAGAACTGTGGACACCTCTGCAGCATACAGTGCTATGCTTGACGAGGTCAGCACAGGTGGGACCCGTGCTGTTTCCTCTCCTCCACCATGGCAGCCGTCAGGACAGAGCTGACACCATGGCTGCAGGGCGATACGTTACGAGGCTCGGCTACATGGGGCTCCCTAGTAAGCCCATCATCAGAACAGCACTTTTCCGGGGTGCCTGGGTGGCTCAGTTGGTTAAGCGACTGCCTTCGGCTCAGGTCATGATCCTGGAGTCCCGGGATCGAGTCCTACATCGGGCTCCCTGCTCGGTGGGGGGTCTGCTTCTCCCTCTGACCCTTCCCCTCTCATGCTCTCTGTCTCCCATTCTCTCTCTCAGATAAATAAATAAAATCTTAAAAAAAAGAAAGAAAGAAAGAAAGGAAAGCACTTTTCCATCTCCACTCAATTCTGCTGCCAAGAGGGTTTAAGCAGCTCAGTAGCCAATTCTGTCCTCCCATAACTGCCCCCAACACACACCCTGGTTTCATTTTGACCGCCTGATAACTCAACAGTGACATGCAACCATCAGATTCCTTGCCAGAAAAGGCCAATTACAATGTAACAGCATATTTCATGTTCCAGTTCTTTGATCCTTCACACACAGAACCCAGAGCGCCAAATTTATCTGAAACTCTTATATTATCCAGTCTTCATACTTCAGTTAGTTAACTTTGTTTCCTGAATGTCTAAAAACCAATTAGGAAAGCTGTGTTTCGTCACAATGTAGAAACTTTACATTAGATTATTTTTAAAAAGCTCAAACAAATACCTTATAATTAGACTTTGGTGAATGTTTGGACAGAAAATTAATTAGATCTGTTCATGTGCAAATTAAGAATGCCTTTATAGCAAAAACAATGGTCAAAGGTAAAAAACAAACAAACAAACAAAAAATCACAAACAAGTTAATTCCCAGTTTAACTGGATACTTACACAGTGGGGATGTACTCTCCAGGAAATGCATTGGTTGTGTAACTGATCAGTAGGCAAGTTTTACCTACAGCTCTAAAGAGAGAGAAAAAAAAATGGTGTAAGTTGCTTTGTCAACATGAACGTAATCCTTTCATTATTCTGTTAAATTTCTAGAAAAATCAAGGAGTATACACCAAGTACTTAGCACTGAATAGTTTCTATAATCTTTTAGTTAACACTACACATTTTTATCCTGAAATGTATAGTAAGCACAGTCGAATTTCTCAAAAAGGAGCCTTCATGTTCTGTTTAGGTGTACAGCATTAGCATTCATGGTCAGAAACAGCTGTTTAATAAGCCAGGTTGAACAGGAACAAGATTTTTAAATTGAAAGTCTCTTCTGTGAACATCTGTACCAGTCTTTCATCCAAGAATCTTCAATTCTATCCTCAAATCATTTTGGAACACAGCCTTCCTCTACAACTTCCACTTGGTTGCTAGGTAATATATTTTGCTGCCTCAGAGTGGTAGCTCAAACCCACCACCTTTTAAAGCCTTCCCTCTGGCATCAGTAATGACTGTTCTCTTAATAGAGTGCTTAGTCACTAACCACACACACAACTGTGAACCACAAAGAGCCACACAGAACTCACTTTAATTCATCTGTATTCATCTGCCACCTCCCCAGCCCCCATCCTCACATATCACCATAAGCTTTTAGAGCAACTAACACAATATATTCCAGACATATTAATTAATGGCTCAGGGATGCTGGCATAAACTTCCAAGCAGCTGCAAAGAGGAGAAAGTAAAAAAGAATCATGTAGAAATCCTCCAGAGACAGAAGGGCCTCCTGCACAACTGGTGGTGGGTACAGTGTACCATCAGGCAGAGATCAGAGTGGTGGTTCAAAGTCTCCCAGCTGCTTGAAATGTTTTTTCATGAGAATGTCCCCTACAAATTAAGATCATTGCACCCTTAGCCAAAAAATGGTTTCCAAATTTTACATTCTTACGGTGACTTCAAGGGCTTCTGAAAGCCTGTGTCCCTGGCTTAAGGATTCACTAAATGCTCTCCCTAAAGGAGCCCATCTCCCGCTGTCTTCTCTTGCCTTACCAAGGTCATGTCTATCACACAATGAAGTTCTGAGCTGTAAGATTTTGTTGTTCAATCTCAACTACCAGGAATTAGGATTCACCATAAAGAAGTTAAGTGCTTTTCTATCTTTGTAGCACTCTTAGCTGAAGGCAAAAACCTCTCAGCTAGAACAGATTACAGGCCCATCCAGTCTTGCCAATACTCGTTTTACTCACAACATTATTAAGGGCTTAAAAGTTGGAACTCCCCCACCCCCAAAGACCTCACGGAGTCAAACATTACATCATCAGGAAGTTGCTTCCAACTCCTAAAGGCTTTCTAAACAAAATGACTCACTGGCCACACATTTTGTTAAAAGCTTACAATGTCAAACCTGTGTGAGCAGGAGGCTGAGATCTGCAGTCGTTACCCTGGATTTGAGACCCAGAGCCAGCTCTTTATCACTTATTGGCTGGAATTGTTAGTAGGTTTCAACTTCCTTATGCCTCAGTTTTCTCAACTGTAAAATGGATGCAAGAGTACCAACTCCATCACAAAACTACTGAAGGCATTAATTCTAATTCAATCTATACCAACAACGTGTATGCTATGCAAGGAAGAACAGTAGGTGCTGAAGATACTGCAATGAACAAGACCTCATGGAATCTGTGAGGTTATTAAAGTAAAAAATGAAGAATGCTGTCATTACATAAAATTATAGGTGTGATAAGTGTATTAAAGATGCTCTGGAGGGGCACCTGGGTGGCTCAGGTCAGTTAAGCGGCTGCCTTTGACTCAGGTCATGATCCTGGAGTCCCAGGATCAAGCCTCACGTCAGGCTGCCTGCTCAGCTGAGAGGCTGCTTCTCCTGGTGCGCTCTCGTTCTCTCTCGTGCTCTCATTCATAAATGAATGAATGAATGAATGAATAAATAAAATTAAAAAAAAAAAAAAAAAGATGCTCTGGAAATGTACGGCAAAGGGATCTAACCTAGTCTTGGGAGGCCCACAGAGGAGGCTGCAATGTATACAGAAACTTAGAGGCGTGGGGCCGTGACAGAAGGAACATTCCAGGCAAAAGCAACAGCATTTATGGGGAAGCCCAGTATACCTGAAGAACAAAGAAGTAAGGGGGAAGCAGCAAAGGAAAATATGAGGAAATCGTCATCTCTTCTTGCTAAGGGTATGGGACTTGATCCTACTTGGGAAGTCCCAGAAAATTTTTAGTTGCCGAGAAACCACTAAATTTGCATTTTTAGAAGCAGCCTCTGACTGCAGTGGGGAAAGAGGACAGAGGAAGGAAGCTGGGACTGGAGGCAGGAAAACAAGAGTGGTGTGAACCAACGAGGGGGCTTCACGGTGAAGAGATGTGGGCCATTTCAAGAGCTTCCTAGGCACAAGGCAGAACAAGACAGCTCAGCCATAGGTTGGATGTGGTAGCTGAGGGAGGAGAGTGGAGTCTAAGGCCATCATCAGTGAACCTCTTCAAAATTACAGATGTTGTGTAAAAATGTTACTACTTACTGCCTCTTAATGTCAAGAACAAGCAGCTATGAAGGTTTTAATGGTTATGTTAAAATGTCAGAGTAGCACTTCCCTAAATCTCTTCCATATGTATGAAGAACAAAGCCATTACTTAAAAATACGACCAACTCTGTTTTAAATGCTCTAAAATTTTTTTCCTGAAACTTCACCTTTAGCTGAGGCATCATCTTTTGAAAGGTTTAACTGTAAAGGAATTCAAGGTACTGGCATAACCTGATATTGACTGGAATTTTTTTTTTAACAATCATTACAGTATTTGCTATAAAGCTAAGTTCTGTAAGAAATTATTAAATTATAAAATTCTGACCTTTTATTTCTTTTTTAAGCAGGCTCCACATCCAGTATGAAGCCCAATGTGGGGCTTGAACTAATGACCCTGAGATCAAGAGTCTGATGCTTCACCGACGGAGCCACCCAGATGCCCCAAAATTCTGTCTTTTTAATTAAGTACATGTCCAACCTTTGATTTAAATATTTACTTAGTTTTTAAGAAAAGATAAAAAGAAAAAGGAAACGGTTATTCACCTCCCATTAGTGTTACTTATTCACTCCTTTTAAACACACTCCACAAACAAGCTCTAGAGGCCAAAGTCAACACAGGCTCAGGCAGTCAGAGCTCCTCACACGGAGAATGGAAGTCACGTTTGGTCACAGCCTTGCCTGAGGCTGCAGCAGAATCGCTGGAAGTTGCTATCTGCTTTGGAGTTTCCAACTTTATATATACTTACCTGCTCAGTTCAACCTCTTCTTAAAAATCTTTGAAAGCTGCCACAACATTAAAAAATAAACATGAGTCTACTGGAAGAAAGTTCACATGAGCACATTTTTTTTTAGCCTATCTGTGCCTGTCCTGCTCTATCTTGTAGAAATAACCAAGATTAAAGCCAATAACTTGTGTTGCTATTTTTTTTTTTTTAAGATTTTATTTATTTATTTGAGACACAGAGAATGAGAGAGAGAGAGAGAGCACATGAGAGGGGGGAGGGCCAGAGGGAGAAGCAGACTCCCTGCAGAGCAGGGAGTCCGATGCGGAACTCGATCCCGGGACTCCAGGATCATGACCTGAGCCGAAGGCAGTCGCTTAACCAACTGAGCCACCCAGGCGCCCCTGTGTTGCTATTATGTTCTTTGTTTTTCCATTAGAACTTTAAGGAAACTTTTAAAATTTGGGGGGTACATCTCAATATTACCAAAATCTATAAACCAAAACTTAAAAAGCACATACAATAGGGCGCCTGGGTGGCTCAGTCATTAAGCGTCTGCCTTCGGCTCAGGTCATGGTTCCAGGGTCCTGGGATCGAGTCCTGCATTGGGCTCCCTGCTCTGTGAGAAGCCTGCTTCTCCCTCTCCCACTCCCCCTGCTTGTGTTCCCTCTCTCACTGTGTCTCTCTCTGTCAAATAAATAAAATCTTAAAAAAAAAAAAAAAAAACACATACAATCAATAAATCTGGAAACACTGGCAACTTCCTCATGTTAGAAAAGTAAAGGAGGGGTGCCTGGCTGATTTGACTCTTGATCTCAGGGGTGTCAGTTTGAGCCTAAGCTGGGTAGAGAGATTACTTAAAAATAAAATCTTTAGGGGCGCCTGGATGGCTCAGTCGTTAAGCGTCTGCCTTCGGCCCAGGTCATGATCCTGGGGTCCTGGGATAGAGTCCCACATCGGGCTCCTTGCTCCACGGGAAGCCTGCTTCTCCCTCTCCCACTCCCCCTCACTTGTGTTCCCTCTCTCGCTGTCTCTCTGTCAAATAAATAAATAAAATCTTAAAAAAAAAATTTTTTTTACCCCACCCCATCCCCAAAAAGGGAAGGGATACAGTACAGGAAGTTAAAAAATAAGAACTTTCTGCATTGCCTTACTTAAAAAAAGATATATTGGGGGGCACCTGGGCGGCTCCAACGCTTGGTTTCAGCTCAGGTCACGATCTCAGGATCATGAGAGGGAGCCCCATGTCAGGCTCCGCACTAAGAGCAGGAGTCTGCTTGAGACCCTCTCCCTCTCACTTGCTCTACCTCTAAAATAAAATCGTTTTAAAAAATAAAATAAAATTTAAAAGCTACACTAATCTTAATAGGACTGGAAGACCAGAGAAAATAAGCGTCTCATTAAGCGTCTGCCTTCGGCTCAGGAGAAAATAAGGAGCCTGTACTGCTGTCTAAAAGTACCTAGATCTTGGGGCACCTGGGTGGCTAGATGGTTTAGCATTCAACTCTTGGTTTCAGCTCAGGTCATGACCTCAGGGTCCAGGCTCAGCGGGTGGTCTGCTGGAGATTCCATCTCTTCTCCCTCTTCCCCTACCCCCACTCCTGCCCTTGCTCTCACTCTCTGCCTCTCACCCTAAAATAAATAAATCTTTTTTTAAAAGTACCTAGATCTTAAAGATGAACAGAATGTAGTGAAATGTGAATTACATGTATTAAATATGTATTTATGTTTACTGCATAAATGAAAGACCCTGAATGAAAGTCCTCAA